GCCAAACTCAATACATGCATAACAACCTATAATACAACATACTAGAATACAAAGGCAAGAGCATCATGGAGGGCCGACTGTTGAAGACACGGCTGAGCAAGCTGCTCGTCATCGGCGTGTTTCTTGAGGCGGTCCCTGGCTGCAGCCACCTGGGCCTCTTGTCCAGCTGGGCAGTCCTCAGTTGGCTCTGGCAACAGGAACTGTGGGCTGCGAGTCGCACATCAACACGGTAAGGGAAGGCCCAAATCATGGCAGAATATAAGCTAGGGCACAAGGGCTTCTCCGTTGTCCTCCTCTGTGAAGCCACAGCTGAGCAGGAAGTCTTTGGCGCCCGGCAGATCAAAGACCTGTTGAAGTTGCACATGGTGAAAGAAAACAGCGGCGACTATGTCCGAACACCTACCTTGCAAATGGATTTCCGTGGCCTTGGCCCTCAGCGCGGCGTTGGAGGTCTTCAAATGTCGGAACTTGGCCTGGTGCAAGGATACATATTACAGCTCTATGACGAAGCTCCTCATATCTTGGTAGCTTTCAAATTTGAAGATGTTGTCCTTCTCAAGAAAGTCTGGAAGGAGTGGTACCGGCACACCACCTTACCGGGCCTCAGCCGGGTGAGCGACGATGTTGTCCAGGACTTTGAGGAGCGTGACATAACAAGTCTCCTATCATCTGCGAGAAGCAAAGCAGTGTTTCCCAACTATGCAGACCTGCCGACCTGCTTGTCCCAAGGACTTTCCGCTAAGCGGTGTAGCGCAGAGCTCTGCGCCTGTGAACGTCGCGTGCGATCTCGTCATGTGATGCTAAGGCTCTCTATGTCTTTCCTGGCCTCAGCCATCGGTGGATGAGCCAGAGTCTAGCAATGAGGCAATCTCCCTCGATCCAATGTAGCTGCGTCAGGCTTAGGTAACACTCCCTCCTGAGCCCGGGGGCCGCTGACAGCACAATTGTTGATGTCGCTTTTTCAGTCATCAGGATGCAATCCATGACCCGTAAAATGACAGGAACATCCTTGAAAAGTTGCATAACCAAGTCTGGGCAAACCTGACCGGCAGAAATGCGTGGTGGCGATCTTGCCGAAGCCAGAAAACCTGCAACCAAACATGTCTTGCTGATTAGGACATGTTTGCAGCTTGTCAAACATGATCTCTCCCCCTCGCAGCTCCTGAGCGTCCGCTGTCCATGCCACCCGACATACCCAGAGCCAGCCGAGGGACTGTCGTAAACCTGAAAGATGGTTCATGAGAGACTCTGCTCGACAGAAGTGCCTGCTACAGATCAAGAAAGGCAGCATCCAATTCAGATCTTGCAGACTGGGGCTGCTACCATTTATGTGCCAACGTCTGCTTCGCAGATGGTCGGCGCTTTGGGTCCGGCCTGGCACGAGCAGACTATGACGTGAAAACCGAGCCTAGCTTTGCAGATGTCATGCTGACAACCAGGACAGACACGCTGCAAGCATTCCTGGCACGCTCGTTGCGCAGGCGTGCTGACCTTCAGATGAAAGCATGCCTTGCATGGAAGCCCGCACGCTTGTGCTGCAGCTTCCTAAATCCAGCCTCACCCCAGGCTGGATCACAGAAATCTGCCCCCGCTGGGGTCAAGATGCGACGCTTCACCTGAAGGCTGACACCACCGAGTTCAACAGCGTGGGAGTTGGAAAACGGTATCATTTGGCTGAGCGGCAGCTTCCAGATCGTTTCCCTCCGTGTAGAAGGGATGACGATTTGACAACATCTCGAACAGGATCACCCCAATCCTTGTCGCACTACGCTGACAGCTGGCAACGACGCAGGATGACAACCGGGCTAAGGAATTCCGCTCGCAGATGATGTGTGACTTGGACTTGTACGGGGATTAGAGGAACTTGCCTCGGTACCGGCCCCAAGGCTTCAGGAATCCTCAAATGTCTTGGTTTCCTTCCTCGCTTTCCACGCACGACAGACGGCCTCATGCCCTCTCCCCCCCTGAATTTGTTCCTGCATTCGGACCTTGGGTTCGAGTCCTCTTTAAAGATGTTGCTGCGCGTGCCCTGCATTGCAGCGAAGGGTGCAACCAGAGACACGAAATCGACCCCTGCAGTGGCTCTTGCTGCTAATAAACCCATGCACTGGGTTTCACAAGCACTGGGCATGGAGGTGGCAGTGAGAACGGAGCAAGATGTCTGTTCAACTTGCATGTGTTAATGCTCAGACTCTGGTGCCAGTGTACGACAGACGATTACGCAAGGCAACAGACTGGCACGGAGCCAAAAAACGCTGATCGGGGCTGCACCTTGCAAGCGACCTCACGGAGATTGTAAGAGGGTGCGGGAGACTGCGCTGGAGTTTGGCCAAAGCAAACCTTGCGCTGTGCACGGCCAGTACCCTGACTGCTTAGCGAGCTAAGACTCTTTCAGACGTTCACCGCAAGTTGGCTCTTTGTTCCATTCAGCCTAGCCTTGGCTGTGCAGCATCTGGCGCATGGGGGCGCCTCCCGGCGCTGATGCCAGACGACATGCAACAATCAAGTGAGTTAGCGACATCAGCAAAGAATCTTTGTATTTTCGCAGAGACCGAGAGCACCCGCCCAGGCAGTCTAGAAGCCGTCCATTTCACTAGAGCATACTAATTACAACTGAACATCTCGCAACATCTCACAACCCTATCCGTCGTGAGACCACATTCCGCATGGCCCACCAAGCGCTGAGACAGTGCGTGATAGTGTGTGATTTCAGGGCAAGACTTGGCGCGCAGCACTCACAATCAAATGCATTTCCTGACATACCGGGAGGTGTCACGCTACCTGTGCACAAGCTCGGCCGACCCATATAGCATGACACACATGACACACACGTGACACAGGCTCTACACATGTGGAGTTTCAGCCCAGAGGCGACCAGACATCAGCTTTGTCATCATACCTCCCCGCGTAGACCTCACAAGAATCTCGGGTGCAGAGCTGCGTCAGCTGGTCTCGCTGCCATTGCCTCTGGAGCCATGTAATGAGGAGTTCCTGCTCTTTGCATGACCTTCCATAAGACCCGCGTCCATTTGACATCTGTCTTGCTTGCCGAAGTTCCGACCTCCTTGGTCTCCTTCGTGGCCAAGATCTCTAGTCCTCTCAGGGCAGACATTGCCCAACGTAGAGTATTTTGTTTGCCTCACCTCCAGGCAACTTTGGCAGCAGCCGAGCCACTGCGCCAAGAGCACCACTTCTGTCGTGCACCTCCTGACGAGAAGAGTCTCAGAGAAGGGTTTAAGGACCTCCACTTACGTGCTTTAATCCGCCTGCGTGCAATTCAGCCGAATTCGCTCCACTGTATCTGACCTGGGACTCGGATGTTCTAGGAAGTCAGTGCAAGTATTGGGGCAATATTGGGGTAATATTAGGGTAATGTTGGGGTTATATTGGGATCATGGAAAAGAAAATGGAAACTACTACCTAAACCCTAAACCCTAAATCCCCATAAAGATAGGCTCTTCATCTTTGTGCAGACAAGACACAGCCCGAAGTCAATCACCTTGACGGGACTGTCAGACCGTGCGGTCAACAAGAGCACATTCTCGGGCTTCAGGTCCCGGTGAAGCACTCCTCTGGCCCAGCTGCCACTTTCTTTTCCATTAGCCCAATATGGCCCGCAATACATATATATATATATATCCCCAATATACATATATATATATGCCCATATATATATATATCCCCAATATATTCCCAATATAACCCTAATATAACCCCAATTTACTACAGCAGTCTCCATTTTCTTTTGTATACCTGCTCCGACTTGCCTCGATCGTGGCAGTAGCTGGCCGCACTGAGGATCTGCTCCGCATAGGCTGCTGCTAGGCCCTCCAGCATGGGCTTTCGCAGGTGAGTCCTGGATAATGGAAAAGAAAACGGAAACTACTATAGTATTTGGTCATAGAGCCCAAAATATAGGGTTCATGTTGGGGATATATACAGTACCCAATAATGGAGAGTCAAAATGGAAAAGAAAATGGACAAAAAAAGGAAACTGTGTTTATGTAGACGTTTCATAGGGTGGATCTCATGAAGTACCAGAGGCAAACACTGCACATCACTTCACAACGATGTCCTCTGATGTGCGAGGCGCTCAGCCAACGAGCCCCCCGCGCACAGCTCGGTAACCAAATAGACACAACCTTTTTCACAAGAATCAGACATGTGCGCTACAGTAAATATTTCCTATATCATTACTGAACATGGGTTCCAGCTCGGAAATTTACTAAGGACCGCACTACACTACAAAAGGAGACCCAATTTCCACCTTAGTGGTCCCTGGGTCACCCTTTTATTGACAGTAGCACTACACAGTGGTATCAAGCATTCGAGTGTCAGCAATTAATTTCTGGTTCTTCGTAAGGAATAAGGACATACGGTATACAAGGATTATAAGGGTTATACCTTCTTCCCTACTAAGAACCAGTAAGAGTAAGTTTTTTTTGGGGGGGTGCTCGAAGATGATCACGGCAAGGAGCTTGCGTCTCGAAATGCTTCGTGGAGGCGCAAGAGGTTTACGTGATCCAAGCTCTTGAGCATGGACACCTCCAATTCCACAAGCTCCTGCCAGATTTCTCCTGCTGTCGTCCGATAGTTACTACAGGGGCCTAAATAATTACCAATAATATTTTGAGGTCCATCTGAGGTACCATATATTATAGTTCTACAAGAAATACGGAACCATAACATTGGTAAATATTTCGCCAATTATTTAGGCCCCTATATTACTGTCATTGCGGCAACGCTCCCGAAGCTGCGCAGACTCAGCGCCATCCGAGAGGCGCACGGCTTTCATTGCACGCACCTCTCCGGTCCCTGAGGCCAAGAGCTTGGGGATTATTACGGGGTATATAGGGGGTATATGGGGGCTATATAGGGATAATGGAAAAGAACATGGAAGCTACTATTTAGGGTTTAGGGTGAGCGGAAACAAATTGTCAAGGCCATGGCCACGGGCTCAAACAAAGACAGAGCTTACGCGCCCAACGCCCCATCTATTGAATTCGAGGCAGTCACTACTTACCTCCTTCAGCTACCAATGCCATGTCTCAAGATATGTAAATGTACATGAGGCGGTATGTCGGCTAGTACATACACACATGCATTGCTCAGAGAAGTAGTCAATGCCATGCAGCCAAGTAGGGCCTTTCAGAAGGCTCTGAGCTATCGCTCATTCGGATGCACTTGATCTAGCTCTACGTGAGGCTTCAAAGCTAGCAAGTGCTCAGCCTTCGTGATGTCAAAAGCTTGTCCAGAAGGCTCAGATAATTCATCTTGAAGTGACGGAGGAACAAACCTGCTAGCTACGAGTACAAATAACTTCAGTTGTTGTCAATCTTCGTATGGTTCAGTGCCTCTGGTGTGGGCATTTTTTGAGCTTTGCGCGTACCACCGTGAAACACGCAACATCCTTCAATGTAGAGAAGAAATGTTGTTCGTAATGAGCCTTGACAAAGACTCCAACACCCTGTCACACTCAGGTGTTACAGGCTTCTTGCCGCTTGCAAGACTAGCGTGTTGAAAGTATAATCTTATTTCGCACGAAAGCTTTGAGGGCCCTGCCATTGTGTGTCACTTTCATGACTGTGCCGAAAGCGCCGCTCCCAAGAGCAGCATCAGTCTCTGGGAATGTGTATTCCTCCCATGTGCCGTGCACATCCAATTTGTCATCAGAAACATGAGGCTCCTTCAGCAGGTCCGTCATGTCCCGAGCGCTCGGGACTAGCGCGAGATTGGCAAAGCCAACAGCGCGAGACTTGCCGTACGGATCCTGGCAAAGACTTATGGATCACCCAGGGAAAAGCAGCGGGGCAGCTGTATGGAACCCATCCTTGAGGCCCCTTGGAGTGGTTGCGCTTTCCATCACACTTGATGGAGTTTCCTTATGCAAGGGCTGTGTTTTGAGGTTGACAACCAAAGTTCAAGAGTTCAGGCATTATCCGCTTGAAGCAGCTTCCTTGGTCTTTGGCTGGAGGCAGCTTCGCAACCCCAGCCACTTCTTGAGGCGGCGGTGGAGGCTGGAAAGCCTGCGACAAGCAGCGAGACTCAGATGGAGAAGTACTGAGAGTGTAATTAATCGAGTGTACGGGCCGCTGGCCTGCAGATTTCGGGCTTGATGGGCATAGGCCTGAGCGGGATCAATGTCCGGTTGTCGCACAGCTGCGAGGGCTTAGGCAAGGAGCCATGGGCATCATGGCTTGTAAGGCTGCGCTCGGCCCCGACTTCTTGCCTCAGATTTCAGCATCAGGAATCAGCTCGGCCAAACAGAATGAGCTCATCTGGTGGCCTTTGAGAAGTGGCTGGAGGCCACGCAAGGCAAACTCATGGAACTCCTCCAAGAGCAGCAAGCCATCCATATCCTGGTCACACTCCTTGGTCACACAGCACGCATCTTAGACTTGTAGTGCCTCGAGGCTTGCGAAACTGGCCTGAGACATGCTTCAAGACTTCCGAACACACCAGCCAAATGTCTGAGAAAACATGGTCCAGGAGTGTCGTCACATATGGAACAGGTGCGCCACCCGGAAACAGCCTGAGGACCACCTGACACAAGACGATTGTAAATGGTATCACCCCGCGTGATGGGTTCAAATGATGGCTCACACCGGTACTTTTCGCGTCCCGGGCATGGTCACGGTCAGTCAGACATGGGGCGCGGGGGGAGAAGTGCTCACCAGTACTATGCAAGCTTGGAGCCAAAGACCACTGGCCAGTCAGGGGCTTGACAGCTCAAGCACGTCAACACTTGCATGCCATGCTCCATCGGGCCAGTCTCTGTCAAGTGACAAAACACGTAAAACAGCCTGCAGAATGCCGCATAGAAGACTAGCTCTTGAACATGTTACCTGAAAACGCGCCCAAATGCTGGGGCCCATGGCGTTTGGCCGACTGAACGTGCGAAAAGTCGTAGTTGGTTTGCAAGAGCGTCTCACAATTCCCATCAGCCCGCTTCAACCCTCGAACGCCACTTTCCATCTGCTAGGTTGTTGTTAAGGATCTTGAAATAAGTCTCCATCATATGGGCATAGAGTAAGTAATAGGAGGTCCTTGTTATAGCAGTTGAAAATGTTCCTTACCAGCAACCCATTCTTTCCGTCTGATGAACCCGAGAGGCCTGGCCGAAGCCGCGCCGACTTTGGGCTGCGTCCAAGGCCCCGCGTGAAAGCAGCCGGTCCTTCTGCTGAGCTACGCTCGCAAGGATAATGGCAATGATGTAAACGATGTAATAGTTATGATAATGAGAATAACAATGATAACAATAGCCAGAATATGGTGTAATCATAGTAGTAGAAGAACAACAGTAGTGGTTTGATAGCAATACGGCTCCTCCCCACGAAAAGCAAGATTGCATGCCTCTTGCAGGCCCGGTATTGTCAAGACATTCTCCTGCAAACTCAAGCACGCCTTCCAAATCCCACACATGCGCCTTTCCTCTTCAACTGCAAGGTCCTGAGGTGCCTTCGACTTGACATGCCTGTGCCACTTTGGCTGATGTGTGGGAGAGTGTTCCTGCAAAGCTGGCCAAGCATCACCAAGTTTTGCCTGTGTGATCGTAAAGAACTGTTACATGGCTCCGCCTGCATGCCAAATGTGAATGCTTTCAACATGTTGTGCGGGTGGCTCTTTCTTTTGTTTGGATAGTCTTCGTAATTGTTTGAAAATTGCTTGTGCATGATTCCAATTGACTGGAAACTGCTGGAGAAATGTTTGTGATTGCATTCAAACGTTTGGAATTGGCTTGACACTCGTTTTTGCTTGTTTGAAACTTCTTTGCCACATTCTTATACACATTTGTTTTATATGGTTTTAGGAGAACTGATGAGAAGTGTTGGGCAACCGCTACCTGTAAATTTGTAAATATTTGAAAGCCTTGCTTGACACGCGTCATTATGTGTTGCGTGATGTCGCTTGCTACGTACTTCATATCTTGTTTTACTGCTTCGGAAACAATTCAGGATTGTTTGGGGAAGCTTGTCACTAGCTGTTGCGTGGCTTTCCTTCTACGAAACTGAAAAATCAGCAGCCGCAGCGCACATTGCGAAAGCAGCGCCATGGTACCGCAGGTTTCCGAAGATGGCAGCTGTTGTTACGCGCAACACCCATTGATGGGTGTTGCACACACCTTCCCTTCTTGACCAAACTCCCTTGCACCCAGCCGGACACTGGCCCTTCGTGCGACATTCTTTGAATTCGCCGCAGGGTAAGGTCAAGCCCAGCCGCCAGCTACTCAAGCTGCGCAAAAGCGCGCGCACACACGCCAGGTCCAGAATGGTTGCTTCCGTTATGAATTATGAAGCAATCTTCGCTGCCTAAGGCCTTAGGTTCATGCCGAGACATTGCATCCCAAGGCTAGCTGGAGCTCAATAGTCATGCTGCAATCCAGAACCCTTTCATCAGAGGATTTTTTGGACCGTGCGCTTCCCTTGTAAAGGCCGCCATTGACGTCAAGATTCGTGCTGCACGCCATTTCATGATGGATTTCTTGGACCTGTGCCTGGCATGATGCATTTCACCACATCTTTCCCCGGCCCTTGATGTCAAGATTCTTGCTGCGCCGGGCCGAGAGTCTGGCCAACCCCAAACCCCTCTTCTCCATAGACTCCTAACACGTTGGACGGTGGGTCCGAAAACCGCTGCCGGAACTAATGTGCCCGACAAGTTGAATCAAAAATGGCGTATCAATCATTATTGCGCTGGTAAGGCAATAAAAATTGCATGTCGGACTACTCTGCAAGATCTTTGCACTTCTATCTAGGGACCGCTGATGCCTTACAGAGCCATTTCAAGGATCCTCCTCAAAAAGGGGCGGGGTCTCCAGCCCTTGGGTTTGGTGCAGGCTCTAGAGCGGTTCTGGGGCGGGTCTAGTTCGGAAGATGTGGCCAACAAACAAGGTCACGCCAGCATTTTTGGAACGCGGTTTTTTTTAACGGGCCATGCGGAAAAAAGACGGAAAAACTGCATTTCGTGCCACGCTTGCCAGTGTTTTCACATTTCTCGATTTCGAGCGTTTTAGCGAGCTTGCGGCTTGGAGTATTTTTTAACGAGCGATGCGCCGTATCCCACGCCGGGCAGGGCTTTTTGCTCTTCAATCATTTCTAACCCGGAAACATACAACACGTTGAAAGATGACAATTTGAGTAACTGAATAAAGTTCTAGCCTTACAAGTTCCCCCTCAGAAAATTCTAGCCTCACAAGTTCCTCTCAAGAAAGTTCTCGCTTCTCAAGTTCCTCTACAGAAAGTTCTAGCCTTACAAGTTCCCCTTCAGAAAGTTCTAGCCTTACGAGTTCCCCTCCAAAAAGTTCTTGCCTTACAAGTTCCCCTCGATAAAGTTCGAGCCTCACAAATTCCTCTCAAAAAAATTCTAACCTTAAAAATTAGCTTCAGAAATTTCTAACCTTACAAATTTCCCTCAAGAAAATCTCAGCCTTACAAGTTTAGCTCAAGAATATTGCAACCGTAAAAATTCTCTTTGAGCTAACTAAAGCTGGATTCTCGAAACCCTAAACCTAAACAAAGCGAAGCTGCAGGTCACACCTTGTCTTATTTTCGCAGCTGGCGGACCTTGCGGGCAAAGAAACCAAGCATCCACCAGTTTGCTCAATCTTGCCCAGTGCGTCAAGCATGCCTTGAAGGTTTTCTTTCAGACTGAGGACACTCTGCTCAAACTTCTGCCGTTTGGCAGCTGCTTGTCCTCCTCCAACTCCACCGCGGAGGTCAAACCAGGAGCTCTCGTCGAGACCCCAAGCTTCAAAATCAGAGCCGTAGCAGCTCCCATCAATGGAGCTCCACGTGTCCTCAGAAAGGTCCTCCGACGCTTTCAAATTCCAGGAGTCCAAGGCAGACTCACTCGCACTCTTCATGGCACTCTTCATGGATCACTTGGCGCGGTGGCGCGTAGAAGCTGCCTGCATAGGTCTGTACTCTATTTTTCACATAGACGAAGCAGTCATTGAGGAGCTGCTCTAGTTGTCCCCCTGAAGCGACAGTCTGGCCAAAGCCCGCCGAGACCTCGAAGCCCTAAGGAGCCTCAGAGCCCTCAAACAGGCCACCGCCGGAGTCCCCGACCTTCTCATCCTTTCCATGCTTGCCACGATCAAGATCAGCCAGGGCCTCCATGTACTCCCCTACATGAAAGCACTCGCCCTGTTGCTGCACACTGTCCCCAAAGAGGTCAAAATCGCGGACATCTCTATCCAGCACAGCAGATTCCCCCAACTGTTCTGAAGACATGTCGCAAGTGCCGAACCTGAAGCTTGATTCTCACAGCAGATGCACAATGGGTCAAACAAGCTAGCCATCCAGAAAATCCTTCAAGCGCACGCATGGCAAGCCCATGGTTGGTTCACATGGCGCCTCCCTCGGGGTGCAAACCCGCACTGGTTCACCACAAGCACTCCAAGTCTCGTGTGGGTTTTCGTAAGGCTGCTGCCACCACGCGGAGGTAACCCACCACACGCAGCAGATGAAACTGGCCATGACAAAGGCTGACACGGCGTAGGTGGGGCTCTTCACACGCAGCCACGCCACCGCTCACGATGGTTGCCTCCGCGGTGCAAAATTCCCATTGGATCCACTTTTTTGGGTGAACTGCCTCAGGGACAGTTCACCCCTCCTGCAAGGGGAACTCAAGCAGCAGCTCCTGGCTCAGCCCTGAGGCTGAAGAATCCATCACGTGCCCTAATCACTTTACCCACCTGCTCGAAGTGCCCAGCAATGGCATCAACTTGCCTTTTCAAGGCTCCTCGCCACGGCCATGCCAGGGGATATGCCATCCGATCCTGTGGTGCCGGGGGCCGTGAGGCCTCAAAGCGGTCACAGTGCCACACCAAATGTTCAAGATTGGGAGTGCTGGCGCCCCCACAGAACGGGCAGCCATGGTTGACTGCGTCTCCACGCATCCGAGAGTAGCAAGCTGAACTGTACGTTGCTCCCACCATACTGCCCTTGACGGACTGAGTGCATGTACTGTACAATGCTCGAGCCCTCCTGCAAGTTTCTTCATGGTACTGCACATGCCCACAAAGCCACCGGCTGTCTCTCCTGTTTTTGGCATGAAAAGCATGAAAACGCTGTACTCTCCACGCCTCCCGCAACTGGTGAACTGTACGACCCATCTGGCCCACAGGAGAAGGCCAGCTGATAGACGGCAAATCGCCGTGAACAAAACCTTGACCAGCTATGTGATGATATCCAAGTCGCTGCGTGCCATCCATCACATGCTCAAACAAAACCTTGCCTTGAAAAACTACTCTCTGCACATGCCAATAGTACGAAGCCCTGAACCAGAGTAGCAACGACATCTTGAAGCTGCATAAGCCACAAACTTGTCCAGTGACCTTGCAGGAGTTCCCACAAATCTCTCGCCCCAGAATGATGGGCTTGAAACACACGCTTGATACAAGAACCAATCTTTCGGCTGATTTCCAGACTGACAGGTTGCAACCATCGGCCCCAAGCTAAAACAGGTACCACTCTAGTCCTGACAAGATGTGCCAGCCTATTGTCGGCCAGAGGCAGAAGCGCCACGCGGGACAAAGTTCTCATGCCAGATGCCATCCGAGCTTCCGACGTGCGGCCACTATCTTGGCCCTGCTGCATGAAATCGACTCCCAGGATCCGGCAGTGTTTCTGAACGGTATCAGGAGGAAATCTGTCCAACAACTTTTGTTCGTGCCACACATGATTAGCAACAACCTTTTGCTTGTCAAGGCTCTCGTGGAGCCCTAGATGCTGGCAGCACCTTTCCCTGTACTGCTGTACAGTGCGAACGTCATCGGGGTGATGGAGGATGGCCTGCCTGTCGTCAACAAAAAGGGCCTGAATGGCAGGCCCTCGTAGCTGGAAGACGTCTATGTCTTTAAAAAAAACGCATGAAATCAGTGTTTCGTCCAGGGCCGCTTACGCTGGCGTGAGCACAAACAAGCACAGCAAGCTTCTCATTATTTGCTGGAGACAAATCGCAATCAAAATACAAACAGATTGCAGTTACAGACATCAAAAGTGTGTACCAACAGTTGTCAAGCAATCTGCGAGCATGTGAACACAATCACTCACTTGCTACATACAGTTCAACGCACGTGCAAATAGTTTTCAAACCGCTTACACAGATCCGAATAGAGTTTTTCAAACAATGAAAAACCGATTGTCAAAACGATGCTTAAGCAGGCTATGCTAATCTTAAACACTTACCCTTGCTGATGTCGAGCAGCACCTGTTTGTAACCACCTAGACATTTAAACTTTTTGGTGCTACCTCCTCGAGGCTCCGCTGAGAGCTGCCCCAGCCTTTAAGCATCCGCAAAGTATAGCCTGCCGGTTGACATTTCGTTTATACTAAGGTACCCAGGTTAGGGAATCATGCTGGCGGCCCTCCACTAATGTGTGAAAAGCATCACTGCCTCAAATGAAGCTTACTGAAAAACATTCAATACTCAACAGGGCCCTCCAGGTTGCAAACCCATTCCAGTAGTTTCCAGGTTCTTTTCCATTATCCCCAATTTAATCCAAACGGGTACTGTACCTAACATACCGTGATGTTAACAGTTTTCATTTGCTTTTCCATTATTCCAATATCTCCTAGTATCCCCCTTAATGACCCCTATAGTAGTCCCCCATATAATCCCCTATATATCCCCCTTTAAGGAGTTTAGACCATGGCTCATATAACTTCCATTATTCCAATAGAAACCCCAATATAACCCTATATGACTCCAATATACTATAGCAGTTTCCATTTTCTTTTCTATCCCAATATAACCCCTATATAACTCCAATATACTATAGTAGTTTCCATTTTCTTTTCCATAGTAGTTTCCATTTTCTTTTCCATTATTCCCATATAACCCCAATATAACCCCTACACAACCCCCATATAACCCACTATAGTAGTTTCCATTTCATTTTCCATTATCCCTATATATCCCGAATATATACCCTATTATAATGTAGTAGTTTCCATTTCATTTTCCATTATCCCTATAAATCCCGAATATATACCCTATTATAATGTAGTAGTTTCCAATTTATTTTCCATTATCCCTATATATCCCGAATATATACCCTATTATAATGTAGTAGTTTCCATTTCATTTTCCATTATCCCTATATAACTATAGTAGCCAGGGACTGCTTGCAGCGCTGTGTACAAATTGTCCTGCCAGCTTGCCAAGCCCTGAAGAGGACCAGATGCTGTGGGCAACCTGGGCAGAATATTGGGTTACACTGGGATTTTTTTAGTGTTATTTTGGTGTTATTTTGGTGTTATATTGGGGTGATTTTGGGGTAATACTGGGGTTGTATTGGAGGCTGTTTGCGCCAGCTGCTCAGTGCTGTCCAGACACGCAGGCTGCGACAGCATTCGCGGAGCTAGGCGAACATTGTTCTACAAATATTCGAGCCTTTGCAAAGCATTCTGGAAGATTGGGCCCGAGGTGGGGACTTCTGAGTACAAGTACCTGATCAACCTCTTGCAATGCAATCCCCTTTGCAATCTGATATGTGCTTCCACGCAATGGTGCCTGAGCCTGAGCTTGCAGATGTCGGAACGACAGGAAGCAAAGAGCATCTCGCTTAGACATGCTCTCTCAGCTCTGCTGGTATCTCATCAGGACAGCTCTCGAAATGCATCCGTTGCGATTCTACAGACACCATTGCAAAAAGACCGAGAGCAAGGTGACCGGGGTTCACCATCCGAGGGTGGAGTGCGCACCGCACGAGGCTCGGTTGCAGGTTCTGCGATCGCTGCGCAGCCTGCAGCCAATTGCTCACCACCTCCTGGCCAGGAGCCATTGCAGAGTCTTCGCATGTCTTCACCATCACTTTTGCCCTTGAAGCCGCCTCGAAGTTGATGTCCCATGGCTTCACTTCCAAGGGTTGAGGAACTTCCTCGAAGGACACGGAGATGAGAACCTTTGCGCAGAGGACCTAGTTACTTGGCTACTTAGCCACAAGCACGTAGGGCCTAAGCCATCCTAAGCCACTGACATCACCCACCGTAAGCTGTGCGGGCCCCGGGGGCTCTGCCTCGGCAAGCTCCTGAAGCATTTCAGGAAGCTCCTTGAAGTTGACTTGAACACACAACTGAACGCTGCTTTTGCCGCTTTTGCCTGGCCTTGCGGGCTTGTTCAGCCTGCTGGCGCTCCTGCTCCGCCTTGTCTCGTTCCTAAGCTCTGCGCCACTCGTACCACGAGGTCACCCATATAAGTTCTCCGGATGCTCACTTTTTGTAGCTCATCTTTTTCACCACTCAGGCTTCGTCCTGCTCGAGAGCTTTGGCGATCTCGTCGCGAGTCTTGATGAGGTCGTCACGCTCCGAGATAACTTTCTGGCAAGGGGAATGCAAAAGGCATGATGCCAGCCCCGCCCCGCAGAAACAAGTGCAGGCTTCTGCCCCTGCTACAGTCAGTCGGAGTGCCTTGCGCATATCTTTTTCTGTGTCCAGCTGCTCAACAGCTGTCTGGAAGCGCGTGAAGAGCTCCTGAAAGCAAGTTGTTTCAAGCTTTTTGAGAATCTTCAGGCAAAGCTACAGACCAACCCTCTGAGGCCTGGTGAGTTCCCACGTATGCCGTTAGCTGCTCCTGGCCACTCAAGCTGCAACCCTCTGAACTGGACTATGGCGGCGAACATTTGCGCCAGCAAATGCGCTGTACTTTAAAGCGTTCCACAATGCACAAACTCTTTCCTGCACTCTTGTTGCAATCTCGAGCCTTTGCATCCAACAACATCGGTTCCTCTGCTGGCGCTTACGTGAGAATCTGGCGGAATAGCCTTGATGATATGGATGACTGTTGCGGACGTAGCTGCCAGAACTGAGGGACGCTTCCAGTTGGCTTGGATGGTGACGCCTGTACAATTTCTGCGAACAGAATGCAAGTCTCAACTGCGGGCATGGAGTCACTCCATGCCGCGCAAATCGTGTCGGATCTCACATCACTTTCAAGGTAACATAAGGTAGCTCATGTTCAAGCCATGATATAAGTCGCCTGCCCCGAAATTCTAGATCTTGCCAGCTAGCTTACATATGTACACTGCACATTTACTTGATTTCTCGCTCCTAAATTGGAGGCGAGGGTGCATTACCCCAATGCTCCCGCAACCCTGGCAAGATGTTTCTTGCCAAGACCTAGGTAGACAAGATGCGAGGCTGCTCCACTGCGAAAAAGAGCTCTGAGCCCCCGACCTTACGGAAGCCTTCGCTTGTGCGGCCAGCGTTGACTTCAAGCAGCGCCTGCAGGTGAGCAAGTACGGGCGGGTCCTGTGTTCTGAATCAGCACTCAGCACGCACTCGGCTCGCGGAGTTTTTCAGAAAATGCAGTTTGCAGCAACCAAAATTTCTACGTGTGTTTCTTCTGATACTTTCCGGAAACGGGCTCTGTGCTTCTCTTTGACTAGGCTTGTGAAAATGCAAGAAGGCTCTTGTCTGCTTCACACAAGAATCGCATAGAATCGCAAAGCACCTCTTCGCACTCTGCAAGCAGCCGTGGTCCATGACGAGCAAAGTGTGCAGCAACAATCTGGGCAGTTGCGCTCATGAGAAGCTAGGTGATCTGGTCTTCTGATTCGCCTCCTCGAAGCCACATGGCGGCTGCTTGGAGACGTTCATCGCAGCTCGAAGGACCAGCAGGCGAACATTCTCATTGTACCTCACAAAGCAACGCCAAGGAACTGAGAAAGTGCTTCTCAAATCCTCAGCGGGACGTCAGCAATATGCAAAGTGAAGTCTGAAGATCGCACAAAGCCGACGCATTCCGGCCGTGTTCGCTGTTGCACTCCCCTGTAGAGGTCACATGCTCTGCCACATACAACACAGCACGCATCAAACAGCAGAGGGCATCAATCACAATATGCGCATGCTCAGTACAGCCAGCGTCGGTGTTTCATGTCAGGTGGCAAATGGCAGACCGCCTTAGCAGCCTTTGTATGCAAAGACAGCTGTGCAGCTACTATGTTTATGTGGTTATGGGAAGTTCAGCAGGATTGATTTGCAGCAGATCTGTTGACGCAGGCTGATTCTGGCATGCAATCTGCACAGCCAACGAAACTTGTGACAGTCGCTGCGAGGAGAAATGGCATCTCCGGGCACTCGGGCAATAGACCAGCGCACTCCCCCGAGCGGAGCTCTGGCGGCCCGTGTCCAGAGACAGGCTCGTCCTTTCGCGGCCTAGCGCTGCTACAGCGCACAAAGACTTCTGTCGCCCGACTCAAGCCAGTGCTGCTTCCATCTTCGAGCTGCAGGCTCCATCCCCTCCGCCCCCCTCTTTCTCTTCACCGGCTGCCTCCCTGACTCCAGGAGCCCAGCAACGCAAGACGAAGCGCGTCGTGTGGCGAACAGCAGCACGGCAAGACCCGGCTTAGATGGCTCTCTGCCTGCTTTGCATGTTACCGTGAGCTGTGTCCTACCAGTGTTTCTTCAGGGTCTTAAGCTTCCGTAGCTCCTTGTTGAAGGCAAGCTGTTTATCCTTCAGTGCCCCGGCCAGTCATTTTCTTTGTTGTGGGCAAGGCAGGCTGACTGTTGCCATGGCAGGCAGCTTCAACAAGCATCCGCACTTTGAGCGCTCGCGCTCCCAAATAACCGGTGCGCCCCGCTCCCTCACTCTTGCTGAGGGCCACGGATTTTCATGCTTCCGTGCAGAACTGAAACGTCCACCCGCTTGCTGACACGTCCATAGAGCTTGCTAACCCCGATTGTTTCCATGAAGCTGGCAGAAGCTTTGGCTTCTCAGCTGCCGGGTCCTCGTTTTTGTAGGCCGGAAGGCCTGCGTGCCCTTGTCTTCAAGGTTTTGCTAAGTCTGCATGTCTTCTCTCAACAGCTGAAGAGATGCCACCAATACAATTGGAGCACGGACAGACCCTGGGTTTGCAAAAACGGCTGCGCGCTTGTTAAAAAAACACTGCAGATACTTTTCCAGAGCCTCTGGCAAGATAGCCACCGAGCTTCAGGCATTCGTGGCCAGGTTCGTTGAAGTATGGATCCTACATGGTTCTGCGCGCAGGCGAAAATGCTCTTCACGCCCAATGCTTTTACTCTACACCAGAGGATGCATGCTGTTCGCCTCAACTAAGACCAGGCCCTGGAGCGAGATCAACACCTGTGACGCCCAACGAAAATGGCCATTTGAGCCATAATCTAAACTCCTTCAAGGGGGTTCTAGGGTTTAGGGCATTATAGGGGATATGAAGGGGGATACTAGGAGTTTAGACTATGGCTCATTTAAAGCGAGCTTCAAGGAAACAATCAGCATGGTCAGCCTGGAGCAGTGTGGACTTCTGCGGATCCCAGCTGGGCCCCGCCCAGGTACCAAGGATGCTAAGGCAAACCTGGCAAAACCAATCAGAACTTCACAGGATTGTTCACCGTCACCCAGCCTTGCCATCATTGTAAAGATTTGGATTCAGCTTTTCGCAGCTACTGACCTGGTCGGCAAGACTGGCTTCATTCACGCCAGCAAAGGCAAACAAAATCGTGCTGATTGCTGCCGAGACGCGTAGCTTGCCATGAAATGAACAAGAGGAGGTTCAGAAGGATACCTCACCATGGCCGCAGCCAGTCTCTTGCTCAAGCAAATTTGCTGTAGCTGCTAGGATCGCGCACTGTGGAGACAGGGACATGTCAAAGAAGAAAGGCACATTCGAGTAAGGGGTGCCCGGCGGGCCGACCACCTCGGCAATGCAGGCACGTTGCATGTAGCTGTGGATTTACGTGGCAAGATGCTTTGAAGCGAAGATTTGTGTCCAAACTAATGCCCGTGTTTGCATCTTGCGCATTTGCATGCTCACAGTGGTAAACAATGCAATAGTTGGCAAAAGTGTGCTGAGATTGGAACCATTGCTCGAAAAAGATCAGATCTAGAGGAGTATGTGCGAACTGCGATGGGTGCAACCACACCTTCAGGGGGCAGAGCAGGGAGCTAGGCAAAGGCGTCATCGAATTGGCCTTCGCTGCCGTCAAGTAGGCCCTTCTGCAAGACAGAATGCTCGCGCCTCAGTGCACAAGACTGATCATAGTAGCTTCTTCTGGTGCACTGCGTACTCAGACACCAGCCTCACTGCTCTCATCAGTACCTGGATGCAAAACATGTGGTTGCCCGCGGCATGCTTGAATTGTTGCATGCTGCCGGTTTGCCGAACAGCTCCTATCATGCATCTTCATTTCCGTTCCGATAAAAAAAGGGAATGGGAAGCTGCCAGTTCAGCGGAGCCACCCGTGGAGGAGGCGAGGGACGATCAACGAACTTGTGGTCGAGAGCACTGATGTCCTCACCAAGGGCTTCCAAACGCTGCAAGCAAGATGTAACGTTCTCTCTCATTCCTCCAACACTCTTGTCGGAACTTCGGCTGTGGAGCTGTGATGCTTTGCTTCATGTTCCCTACTCACTCTTCCCCCCCATGCCTGTCTTGCATGTTGTGACAGCACTCCTCCAGCACATCGAAAGCTAGTATTTCGGGTGCTCGGGTGGAGGATGACGAGCCTTCAGGGCAAGGAGCATGCGAAACAGCACTCTCATGACTCACGATGTACTGTGGTCAGTCTCCAGCCAATGAACCGTGAATCACCATCTAGAATCTAGGTTCTGCCCCGCCTTCAGAAGTTTCGCTGTGGGGCTGCTCGCATGTCACGCACTCCTCTTCTTCCTCTGCACGACCAAACCCTGTGGGAACTCAGCAAATTTCGCCAAATGCAGCCAGAGCTACTGTGTGAACAAGCTGCTACACACACAATAGCTGGCAGCTAACTCCGCGTGGAGCAAGCTTATGGCTCCTGCATCTCCTCGTCTTCATTTTGGCTGCCTCAGAGGGATGTGTCATCTGCCACGTTCAGGACCAGAAAGCTCCTGCATGCTCCTGCTCAGCGCGATGCTTGCTTCCACGCATTCCTCGAAGTCGAAGCTCTCACGTAGGCCCTGCAATCTGCACATGCTTGCCCTTGTGTCAATTATGGGTGCAGAGAGGGAAATCAGGGCCAAATGCTGAGCTTAGTTGCAAAATCTGCGTACTGCAGGTACCCTGCTCTACGCCTCAATGGAGCCGGTAGTTGGCTCGTCCTCCTCCGCAAGCGGCTAGGAACGTTTCAGGAACTTCCCCTCCATCATAGCAGCACACATGCGAAGTGCCTCATCAGAAGACACCGAACTCTCCTCACAAGCATGTTCGTAGTTTTGGGAGACTCGCATGGAAGGATATGACGACGCTGGTCTCCCTGCTGCCTCTAGAACCCGGCATTCAGAATTTCAATGCCCTGCTCTTCATCTGCAAAATCACTTGCGCACATCTGGACAGTGGAGGCATCTCTTCTCTGAGGCAGAGTCGTAGTGTCCATCCATGTCAGCGATGCGCCTGTACCAGGCTGCCGCTGCTATGAGGCCCTTCATCTTCTAGCAGACCCCTGAGGTCTCAGCAGACATTCAACATCAAACCACTCGCTGCTGCCTGAGTGCGCAAAACATGCATCTTTGAGTATGTAGAAAACTTCAAGATGCGTTGAACCACGGTTTTGGGCTCTGCTTCGCGAGGCTCCAGCCGCATGCAAGCTGCACCTGCGCAGAGAAGCCGGAAAAGGCGGTCACCCGGCCGACCCAGGCTCCACAGTCCTCAAGTTCTTCCCGCTATGATTCTGCAATTTTGCAACAAACTACTTGCGAGAGGCTCCAGTCCTGAGACTGCTGGTCAGGCGGGATGAAGACAACATCTGCAAGCCGGACATCCACAAAGGGATGCGGCGCAAGCTCGAACAAACTCACCTCAAAGCAGGGCTTGGCGCAGGGCTCTTTCGTTATACTAATAATACGAATAAGAATAACAGCAAATAATAATATTAATAACAACGTAGATTACAGTATCATTCATAACAGTATTAGTACTAGCGAGTTCAGTCGTAATATCAATAACAGTAATAGTAGTACTATTTGCGGCTATTAATCAGCTTCACATGGTTTAGCCTGCCTCTTGAGGATTGTCTTGTAGAGTACACCGCCATTCCACCAAGGCTGTGCGTGCCTGCAACCGTGGCAAAAGTGCAGCTATTCTTTTTACCACTATTACTATTCCTATAATTCATACTATTATTACTATGATTATTACTATTACTACTACTATGCATATGACTACTACTATTACTATGATTATTACTATTACGATTAATTACTATTACTCTATTACTCTGTTATCATTACTGTTGTTATTACTTAATTACTTAAGAATTCTTACGATTGCTATTACTATGCTGGATCTTTGCAGCCTTGACCTGGCCTTCAGGTCCACGCTCTTCACAACACCCATGGGGACTGGCTGGGCCTGCAGGGAAGCTACGCTAGGTCGTAGGTTTGTTCTAGAGGTCCTGTTCGGCAACCATGCACATCAGGCTTTAGTAGAAACAGGAGTCCACACATTAACATGACACCAAGAGATTCAGCTGTCTTCGGATAATGATATCAGGCTGCTTCCCAAGTCCCCCCTGGCCGTCGGCGTGTGCGTTGCGGTGGGAATGATGTCCTTCTGAGCAGAAGTGAAAAACCAAAGCAGGTAGCTCTCCAAGCATGCCAGCAATTCTGATAACAGCAGGCATCACAGGCACAGCTCAAATTGTAAGACTGGTCCTCGTCATTCACCTGGAAAAACAATGAAGATGCGGTTTGACACAGGCAGTTATCTCAAGAAACACGATTTATTGAAAGGCAGCGTTTGTCAGAACTTGGTCTTTGTGCTGTTTACAAATTGTGCCTTTGCATGCCTGAGCTCTTTCCATGGGAGAGTCTGAAGCACGGGCTCATAGCCGGGCTTTAGTTTTGGCCCTGTTGTTACAGCCCCTGCGCGCGGTGGATTTGGTCACTGAACTTGGTCATATGATGATGAGTTCTCATATCAAAACCGCTCTCGAAGGGCAGGCTCTTCGTTCTACTTTGGGCCTGGATCATGACTTCCCTCAACTTTATGGAAATCCACTGAACTGGATGGAGGATGGGACGATGGATCGGACCTCTTGGTCTGAAACATCCAATCTGTGAGAGACCAAATGCGCATGACCATAACCACTTCCTCAAAAGTTGTAAACCTGCCTGCCCCAAGAAGGTGGCGAAGAGCGCTCCTTAAACGAAGCGGAACATGCATGCACAGAACTCCACAAAGACCAAGAGGCTGAGCACAGCTCTGTGGGGGCAATCCTGCAGATGCTGTGAAAAGCACACGCAGGCAGCGTTTGCTCTAACGCTACCCACACGCCAAAGCCTCATTGGTCTCGTTCTGAGTGGATCCATATTGAATGGACCCATCCTGCAGAGTTTCCTTGAGCCCTACTTACTCAGAACACTGTAGCAGCATGTACGTAAGACTTGCCAAAGCCTGGGCAGTTGGGCTAGGAATTTGCAAAGTCTCGGCCTTGCACCAGGTGCCGGTAACCGCCACCGACACACAGGCGACCCGTTCCGAGATGCAGGCGCGACGTGGGTCGAAGCGGTCGACATCTGCAGTCCTGCGCGGACGGCGTACACCGGCGTACACAGACTAAAGTGCATAGCTTGATAGGATTCGCATGATTCGCGCTGCCCACCTCGCTACGTAGTCGTGAGGGAGGAAATCGTGTGAGTAGAAAGCTTGCCTGCAGAGGCCAGTATATACTGTCTCAAGCAGGTGCAACGAATCAGAGAGCTTGCAGGAAGCCAAGCAGACAAACAAAGCACAGCCAGCACTTAGCCTGGGCATGAGGTCTACGGCGAGAACATCTTCCTTCACGCAGCTTCTACAGTCTACAGATGTTAGGGTCAGGCGCGGCCTGCTGATACTAACTCTTGCATGGGGCAAAAGCATGAGGAGTCCTCCACATCATCCGCCCATTTGACGGTGGTGTGCGTAACTGTCCTGCTTATGCAAGAGGCCGGAGCGAGTAAGGGCCAGTGGCAGCGAACGTGTGAAAGAGAGAGAGAGAAACCAAGGATATACAGAATGCGAGAGAGCGAGTGAGAGCGGGAGAGAAAAGGAAGAGGAGGGGAGGGTGGGGGAGGTGAGGGGCAGTGAAGGAGCGGCGCGAAAAGTCTTGCATGATCTTTGAGGTCGATACCGTGTCAGCACTGCACACGGTGCAGATGGCTCGTCTGAAGCCTGCTGCTGTGCTGATGCTACTTTACTGCCTGTTGCCTGCCGCACTTTGATTTCGTCTCTTTACCCCTGCCTGGCAGTGCTCTCCCAAGAGCCAACCCTCAGAAGGGCTGTTGTTCATGCTCAGTCGCCGAATGGTAGATGGGTGGACCTGTCTCTGCAGTGTCATCTTAAATGCTCATCTGCAAGGTTTAATGTCAGGATGCTCAGCCAGGACTCCAGCCCACTCTGGCGGCATTTTCGAGGCCTGGTTAGGAGGGAATTGCACTGACAGAACAGTTGCCTGCGTTTTTGTGGCATGCTCAAGGGATTACCACCCACTCTTGTGCCTTTGTAGACCATGCATCTATCCAGTGGACACCCAGCATCTCACACCTTAGCTGCTTTTCAGAACAAGCCTCTTCTTGTCCAATGCAGGCATAGCCCGTCCTGCGATGAAGAAGAAGGCTCTGAGGAATGCACGACACGGAAGTGACCTCCCCACAGATTGGCGGGCCACGTGCGCGCTTCCGCGACAACTGCGAGCAGTCTTCCAGCCATTCCGCCTTCAAGACAGTCTGAAGGTGATCCGGCGATTGATTCACGGACATGCCACAAGCACGCTGTCTTAGGCAAAACGTGCAAGCGGTAGTGGCAAAGAATGGTGAAAAAGTGCTCCGGTGGCTCACTTTTCCTCACTGCGCTGCATCCTTTGCGTCTGCAGGGAGCTGGGTGAAACCTTTCCGCCAGCGGTCAGACCTCCAGGCTTTGGCCATCGTGAGTGCTTGTCCAAAAACAGCTGAGCTAGGCAGCCAACTCCCACAGGATCCCCGGAGACGGGATACTCGGAGACGCCTTGACGTAACACGGTGAGTTTGGGCTTCAAGCCGGCCTGAGGCCTAAGGCCTAAGGCCTGAGTGCTGCTGAGATGCGGTGGTGGTCATACTTCCCCCACATGCCATTCAGCACGCTCCTTTCGCCAAGACCTTACAGTTGAAGCAATTGGTTCATCTGTAAGAGCTGGACTTGGACCCCCAGTGAAGGGTCCCACAGAACTTCCGCACAATGCTCTTCCTGATTACACCTGCTACACTTACAATGATGGATGCCTCGAGATGATAGGCAGGTGCTGTAGCATAAACGTCGCTGACCTCCAAGGTCTCTGAAATATCGTTTTCTGGAAGAGCGCGTTGCACCAGCGCACCATCCATTTGACTGTTGGCACTTCGCTCTCCGATCGAAAGGGATCACGAGGCCACAACTCATGTACGGCAGATTTTATCCCCAGCCCTCAGCAACCGCACCTTCCCAACCTGCACACACGCTGTTGCTGCCTCTTCGTGGGTGCCATGACATCTGGGTGTCCAGCTATGCGAGTAAAATGCTCCAGAAGTCAAATCTTTTGGCATTCGTAGAAGGTGCTTGGGAAGACGACCTTCGAAACAACTGATGCGGCTTGGCTTAAGAAGCGGCTTTAAGATGAGACCAAGGCCTGTGAACTCGATGTAGTCAGAGGTCCCCCATATCTCAGTGCCGAAGACTCCAGTGTGACAAGATACTGACTGTGTTCTCTGACTGTCTTGGCAGTGACGGGGCAGCCCTTTAAGCACCGCACCAAGTACCTACGCTCAGAACTAGTGTTCAGGAATCGGTCGCGAATTGCAGCAGACTGGCAGCTTTCGGCACTTTTTTAACTAAATAAACGGACACGGATCCCAGCCACAAGACCGGAAACATTTCAAGAAATAGGTGAATGGCTTTTGCCATTCTATGCCGCCCGAGCTAATCAACCTGTCCATGCTGCCCGTGCTAGGATACAGAAACGATGTCTAGGCAACCAAGCCTGGGCCCAAGGATATCCTAGGGCTAAGCATCAAAGAGCGGGCAAAAAGGGCTTTTCAGAAACACGCCACGCAATTCAGACAGCAGCGCTCTCTCTCGAGATCTCCCTTGAGAAAGTCTTGCTATTCCGCGCGCTGCTGGCCATTTCGCTGATGTAGGTTGGCTTGCCTGAATGCGCCATCCAGCAGACCCGTGTTCTCCTTGTAGAATCTTGCTTGGATGGTTAGCTGCGGCCAAGCGACGTGGAGACGGCAGCACGGCTCCTGAACTGGTCGGGCTGTTCAGAGCGGAGCTAGTTTGCAACTCTTGGCACTGCGGTCAGATCTCTGTGCAGACAAGGTTCGTGCGGCCTCTTTCGTGGCCTCTAGGTTCAAGATTAGCCGTACCAGAGACAGCATTGGCACAGAAATAAGCATTCCTGTGACGCCCCAGATGTTGCCACATAGCACAACAACGAAGAGAATAAGTACCTGAGGGCATGCTGCATTGCTCTTAATGTTCTGACGGCTGAACTACGTGGCTCGTATACAGGTTTGCCTTCAACCAGCGAATCCTAACGGACAACTTGCAACGAAGGCTTTCGGATTTCCAAGGTGCTGGATGGGTCTCGTCTGCTTTGGACTGCTCATCCAATTGGCCCGCGAGAACAGGGCTGCGAGCCATGACGAAGGATTCTATGCCATTGGAGACTACGAACTTGATAATGAGCATGCCAGCGACCTTTGCTCAAGCCGCCATACTGCTGAATAGAAGGGTTTCTGCCCGTGGTTCTTGCCCGAGATCATCCGAGGCCAGGACAGTTGTCAACACGTTTGTGGCTCGCACTTCCATGTTGTTTCTGGAATCCAGAAGAAGTAGCGGCACAGGGATCACAAGAGAAATGAAAGAACCAACCTCAGGGATGAATCCTTAGCTGAGCCATGTTTCCCGGCGGTCCGAGCGGAAACCGGAAACGACTCACCTCTTGAAACGTTGTCACTCCGTTGAAGTTGCCTCCTGTACGGAAGTGGTAGAGTCTGCGTAGAGGGTGTAAAGAACCACCCTGACCTCCAGTAAGACTAGAACTGTATAAGACTGTTTATAGCTTCGAGAGCAAGCGGCCCAGGAAGAAACAGAGTATGCTGATCACAATGACCAGGTCACATCCTGAGTTCCACGTAGCTTGTCTGAAGCTTGTGGATTCCGCTGTGTTGCGGCTGATGCGGCTGAGTCGCCTATCCATGACAGGAGTCCCCAGACACAAAGAGCGAAGAGAGCGTTGCAGAAGGCTTTGTACCTGAAGCGAAAGGTTTGGAGATGAGGCCACTGAAGCCAAAGGAAGGAGTGCGGCCGCGGCCAACTCAGGTTAGGACATGAAATAAGTGCGCACAATCTGAAAGACCTGCTCGCCGCTGCGCACCGGCGACAGTAGCCACATAAATGCATAGAGCATGAACATGACAAGTTGCACGAAGAAGTTCCTGAGCGTCAAGGACTGTTGCATTCAATTTTGCATTCAATTTTCGAGAAGACTGAAAACGGCGAAAAGAAGAGCACTGCCTAAATGACTGGACTGCATTGAGAGGCGTTGTCCCTGCAAGGACGCTGTTAAGCTCCGAGACAGCAAAGGACGAGAGGTGCTGTTGCAAGGAGTCAAGGGGCTTTGACAAGTTGTCCTGCGCGCTGCATTCGCTTGCTCTGCACTCTTGGATACTCTTGGACTCCGGGACAAGAAACCCTCATCTGTGGAGATGTTAAACCTAGAGTCTCGATCTCTACACACCTCCGAGATTGAAAGGTCGAAAGTTCCCAGCTTACTTGCCTTCATTCGTGGACTGGCAGAGTGAGCCATGGCCAGAACCTTGGTTCGTGCAAGCTAAGAATGCTTGTGCGTCATGTCTGCAATGTCATATCCACCATCTGCTGTTGTAAGTCGAGCAGCTTCTTTTTCTAGCTCCTGGAAGCCTTGCTTGTACACCCCTACGTTCAGGGCGTTGACGCTGTTGAACAACGATCCGGTAACCTGTAGCAGGAAGAGGCCCACCAAGGTTAGCACCGCTGCGATGGAAATCCTTAGAGCAGCATCAATGTGCTGCTCACCAGTTGGACATCGCTACAACATTTGTTGTGGCACTGATGCAAACCAAAGCACAGCCTGGCTGTTAAGCTCGTGCCCGCAGCTTCAATATTCCAGGGAGCGAAGATATCCTTCGTGCTACACTCTCATAGACTGAGAACAACTCAGCTTGCAATGTCCCACCTCCGGGATGCAGCTCTCTTCCTCTTGCAGAGTAGCTAGGGTCACGTAAACATCGTGTCCACCCGGTGTGGTGGCCCGAGGCGGCGGTGGGTAAAACCTGAGCGAAGACTAAGACCCCAAACACGTCCTCAGCTACTCGAACAAAGCCAGCGCAAAGCCAGGACGCCATCGCCGGACCCACAACATGGCCCGCCAGTTGCAACGGCATTGCAGGCCGCACCACAGCAAAGTCGCAGTCCTGCCATATACGAGTCTTCCGCGCACATGAGCATATGTCAACAGCACGTTGCGACGTACAAGCACAAAGTGTGCGAGGCCTCTGAAGTACAAACTCACCTAAGCAGCTAGACAACAATATGTACCCAAGCCAGCCTTTGAAAAGCTATTGCATCGGTGCAGTCAACGACCGAGCACGGCGCAGGACTCCACAGCCTTTTCCAAGCAGCCGGCGAGCATGGCTGCCAGGACCAGGGGTTTCAGAACGTCGCCAAACTGTTCCTTGAGATCATAAGGTGGCTGCCACGCAAGTGTGAGTGAAAACGTATCTTGACAATCACTTCGGAATGTCTCTGACTTGAACCTCGCAGCTCAGGCTGCGTCCATGAGATGCACACCCGCCCATACACCAATGATGCACGTGCTCAGCATCGCCGCCTCGCAAAACAGGCTTCCAACCAAACATGAAGCAGTCCTACGACCCTGCCAGCCATCCAAGCCTTCAACAGCAGAGGGTTGGTGTTGAACGGGTTGTTGTTGTTGTTGAAGCCCCGGTTTATCTCTTCCGGCATGGCCTGCGCAAGTCGAATCTTTGATCTTGGTAGACGCGAACATTGAGTGAGCTCCCAATTGGCCAAGCCTATCTGGCTTAGCTAGTCTCGGGCAGCCACAGCAACTCTTTAGAGCGAATTCAGAAGAGTGCATTAGCAACGACCATGTATCTGAAGGCTACGGAAATTCGTCACGTTCTAGCATTACATGGGCACTTTATCTGAGAAACACCTTGCGCTCGGGCAAAGACCCATACTAAAAAAACATATATATATATATATATAGAGGTACACACCTTTAATCCATTATCTGACAGCTACGTTATTGTTGTCTTTTGCTCTCCACGCTTCGAATTATCTGTCATCGCTTTGTGGTGTGCTCGCTTTGAAAACGCTGTGCAGGACCTTGCGCGCAACTGCGCAACCCATGTCATGTCTGCTCTTGAAAAGGTTGGGGCAGCTTCGCTAAGCCAGCTGCAGCCTTTTTGGCATATGGCATGCCGTTATAAACGTGGCATCAATATCTTAAAAAAGTGCTGCGCCCCAACTGGCTCTCCTCCAGCGGCCGGGGAAAGAGATGCGCCGGCAAAGGCGGAACAAGCCGCTGGTCAGCCATGGCTGGAAGCTTTCAAGCAGATTGCCTGCAGCCTGTGTGCGGTGATGTCTTTTGCTAGGCTCATGTTTTGTTGCAGTGCAGCGGGCCAGGTTTCGTCCCATTCTAGTCCATGGGAAAACAGTTGGCGTGCCCGCGGGGGTCTGTTTCTCAGTTTGTTTGCATAGCTCTGCAGCCTTGCGAGGCAGAGCAACCAAAGTACCAACGAGGGGCGGGTCAGTCAAGCTCACTCATCAGAACACAAACCTGCAAGACTGCAGGACTGCAGGATCTGGAGCACATGATGAGGAAGACCATTAACAGTGATAAGACGAGGAAGCTTGTTCGTGTGCTCGAACACCTGGCCACTGGCAGTCTTCAGAGGTGCTCAGCAGACGGGACGTGAACAAGGCAAAGGAAAAGCCAAGCTTTGCGCTGGCTGTTCATTGCGATGTTGTACATGAGTGGGTTGTAACCTCAGCCGAAGCAACCAAAAAAGATGAACACTGCGGCAGTCTTAGGCAAAACTTCTGCCCATAGCCTTCCTTAAAGCGCAAACTGTGCAAGTCAACCCACATGCATTCCCAAGACTATGACTATGCGAGTGTGGCGACATGACTGGCTTCATCCGGATCGACCCAAAGCCGTCCCCGCAAAAAGACATCGTTGAGGAACGACCCTTTTCTCCAACCCCTCCCTTGCCCCAAAGTACCCGGCCTTATTTACCCTTTACCCGCCCAAGGCCCCTCCCCCCTTCCTTTCCTCCGAGTTGGCCGTCACATCAGGAACCCGGTTGTCTTCCTTCGTCGCGATCATGTCCACGTCCACACTGTCGATGCCATGGAGCTTGTGCAATGCCCTGTTCCAGATGGGTTGCGGAGGTTCCCTTCAGCACACGGAGGTACTTTTGAAGGATTTTCGGGAACTAGCCCCCAGGCCCATCCAAGCCGGACCAGCAAATTTTCCAGGTTTGAGAGAATGCCGGGGATCAGAGAGGCAGAGTCACGATGATGCCGATGATGCTGGCCCTCTGCGACATCAACCGGCTGGTTAAGGGGGTGCGGGGCTGGGGGGGGGTGTGGCGTGCTCGTGCCCTGCCCCCTGGGCGCAGCCCCTTAATAATCAAGCCCTTCCACAAGCTTCTGCGTGCGGGGTCTTATTCTCCACGGCACACTTCTGCGAAGCTTCCACGAAAGGCTCGGCTTGCTTTCACGCGCAGTTTTGAAGCCTGAAAGCCCGTGGTTATTTCCGTACCTCCACATATTAATCACATATACAACAGCGCCTGGAAAACCGTGACTCAGATGCCAAGGGTAGAAATGCTCTTAGTGCAGCTCCATACTTCTCTGTAGTCGGCTGCAAACTATTGACCTCAGACACGCAAGCAATCATCACAACGCGTGGCCGCGCGTGTTGCCAAGTGGCGAAATCCTCACAATGAGTAATTAGCGGAAAGTCGAAGGTGTACCTGAGTAGTTCCACTGAAATCTTCACCATGAATTCCAGAAGCTCAAGAAGATTTGAAGTAGGAGGGTGGCATGACGCCATAGCAGAGCAGTCTAAACCAGAGCCAGCCATTGTAGGACTTGACCTGAGCAGAGGATTTGCGACGATGCTTGGAGACATGGAGGCACAGCGAGGCGATGGCCCAGTCTCTTCGGCCCGACCAGGTGCCCATGACGCCGAGAGTGCCGAAGAGGAGGCCGCTGTACTGCCGGCTTCGCAGTGATGAGTTAACAAAGGCGATAACAAATAGAGCATATTGTCATATTGTAGTATAAGAGTCAGGCATGGCTGGTCGTGTTCCAAACCCCCCAGCACATCACAGACATCACGCCTCTCCCAGACAGGTGGCGATGTTACCTCCAATACCCTGGCCAGCTTACACAATACATCAGCTTGCTATGCACAGAGAACGGAGCAACGTGCCGGGACAACAAATCCGCCAACGAAATTTCTGAAGAGTTGGTTGAAGAGTCTGAAAACAGGATGATTCAGGTTGCTCTCGAGCTGACGTGAGGTGCCGACAGCATCCGAGCATCACGCTTGTAATCCAAAGTGTATAGCACGGAGGTTAGTGTGACGATCACGGCGGAGGCCTTAGCTGGCTCCCGAGAGCGGCACTCTGCTGCAGATGGACTCAGAGTGCCCACCAGGACCGTCAGGCGAACAGGTATACAGCAGAACAGCGTCCGGGACGAAACCTCCCAGTGAAAATCGTCTGAACATTTTAAACCTCACAAGCAGCCAAGCCTCCGGAGAATACATCTTGAGTGGTACGTTCTCAGGTTGGTTGGCTTGATGGAATTACCTTCAAATCTGCCCGCACATTCATACAGCAATGACGCAAGCACCTTGCCTGAAGCCTCGCCCGGCCCGCAGAGGAAGCCTGGACGGCCCAAGCATTTGTTGGCACTGACATTATGCGAATCCCTCGTTTAACCCGATCCGATATGGCAAGATCCCGTGAGAGCGGCTACCTACTTCAGGGACACTGGTAGTTCACAGACAGCTCTCGGGTCCAGGCGCGAGGCCGCAGGGCGCATGGGCGGCTGGCGCTGCCGACCCAAGCTTGAGCCAGTCATGGAATCGACCCCGTGACCAAAACATTTGCCAGAGCGCTTCTGCGTTGTTGCGAGTTCAAAGCACGTTGTGGCTACTCAGCAAAAAACAGTGTCACCCAGCCTGTCGCCAAACTCTCGGTGGCGCACGCACCTGCAGGAAACCCACACAAAGTCACGCAGAGGCTCAGGCAGACCTACCCGCAACACCCCAACACCCAGTGTGGGCGACAAAATGATGAAAACAGCTGATGCTCCCACGATGATCTAGGTGACCATAATACTCTTAACTAAGAAAAACAATCTTCGCGTGGGAACACATAATCTCATGACAACGCTTGGCTCCGTCTCTTAACACCTCGAAGGATCTGCAAGCTCAAGGGCTCAGCGTCTGCACCTGCTGCCCGGGGAAGTGAGGGCAGAGTTCCTGTAGGAATCGAAAGAAAAGCAAGGGAAGAGCAGGGCTGAGTGTTGAGCACCTGATGCACGCAGTACGAGTTCAAGTCAAGCCGTGTCTGCACTCCTGCGCGCAGGCTTGGTCGGCCCCGCTGTCATCAAGGGGCGTCAGGCCAGATAAGCCCTCGCTGCTAACCTCAAGTCTCAAGTCTCTACGGAGATGCAGAGAGAAACAAGCCGGCTTGTCTTGCCCCGCCTGGAAAACACACTTCCCCAGCAGCTTGGATCTGCCTGAGCAGGGAAGGCTCGAGCAGCCTGCTACCCAAAGCTGGGAACCAGCCTTTGCGGCCCTCACATCGTTTCATGATTTCGACCTCTGGGATGGCACATAACGAGAAGCAGCTATCAAATGCCAAAGGCTGCCTCAACGCGGAATAGGGCGTCTATGATTCTGCCAATCCACCGCGTCTCATCATGAGCAATGGTTTCCTGACGGATTGGCACAGGGCAGTCTATGCATGTTCTGCTCATCCTTCATGATCACTCCTCCATTCGGAAACCCCCCACTGGACAGACTCGGTCTGCGCTGACCTCGAGCTCTTGGATGCCAGTCATATGTCAGTGAGCCGTGAATCAGTAAAGCAACGTGCACCTCAGGATAGGGGCGTCTGGGCGGCGGATTGCTGGAGAATCGGCAAGTACACCTCACCTGCGCGTGGGGCCAAACTGCTCAAGCAGCAAAGCTTGTGCCCAGGACATCTGTCTCTCTCGATGCGTAAGAGTGTTTCTAACTTGGTTGAGGCTCGTTCCCAAAACGATTGCATGAAGAAGTCACCCAGCAACATGTTTGATTCGGCTATGTGAGTTGGTAACGCTTTGAGACCCACTTACGCAAGCACAGGTCGCCCAAGCTTTGGCAATCAGAGTCACTTTGCTCTCAGCCGAATTGTTAGCTGCTGCTGGCGCCGCGACCATTTGGCCGTGCTGCTTGAAGCGTCCACTTCCAGAGGGAGCGGAGTGCTGATCTGGTGTGGCACATCGTGCCTGCAAGTGGCTGCAGGTCTGAACATTGAAGCATATCAAGGCCCTGTGTATGCTGCACTGCAGTGCATTAGCCCCAGCTGCCTCAAGCTGGTGACCCTGAGCTCGGTCGCCGAGACCTGCAGAATCCATCGAGTAAACATGAAGGCAGGATTTCCACAGGAGCTTGATCACACCAGGTTGGCACGCCTCCAGGGAGGCTTCTGCTGCTGAGTTGAGTCCGGGGAGGGGAACCACCACGCTGACGAAACGAAGGCCGGCCTACGGGCTACAGCACAAGCTACTTCAGAGCTGGTGGCGAGCTGGGCTACTTGCCGCGTCCGTCTCCGTTGTGACGGAGCAGCTTCCCTTCATTGCATATCCTGCAAAATAGATGAGATTTGAAAATCCAGAAAACTGTACTTCGTTTAGTTCGCTTGCGCCTTCCGTCTCAGCTTTTGGCGTCTTTTGGCTCCTTAGTAAGTCTGCAAGCGCACAAGGCATGCTGCCTATGCTGCGTTCCGCTTTCGATTGCTTTGATGAATATGAACTCATGCTGCAGCCCGAAGTGTCGGTGGTGTCGATGCATCGGCGGCAGGCACTTCGGGCTTGATGCTGCGTGCTTCCGTACCTTGCTGTGTCCTCCAAACAGGGATCACTGGGCACCCGGCTCATTCTGCAATACCGCCAGTCACTCTCCAAAGTAAAGATCCCTCTCAATCTCCTTCGTGCCGCTTGCTTGCGGAGCAGGTCCTCAAAGCCTGGCTTCTCCTGGTATTTTACTTCTGGACAAGGCTTGCAGCACATGACTGCGCGCCTCTTTGAGTGTTGCTGCTGCCATCACAGCGACATCCTGAGTGGGAGTGCGGCTATGCACGATCCGCACGGAATGCAAAAAATCTCTCAGCCTTGGAGCAGTAGCCTTGTTCCTGGCTGCTTGAAGCCAGCCCAGGCTTCTCCTTCTGCAAGGCTCTCCACCTGAGTCATGTCAGTGCTCATCAATGCTCTTCTTGGACTGATGTAGAAACAGAAGCTGAAGTTCCGTGCGTGGCTGTACCACCATCCAAGACCTTGCCAAGCTTACATCACTCACGTCGCTAAGACGCAGTGCAACTCAGAGGTGTGCTGACTCGGCAAAGAGCTTTGAGGTCATGAGACGCCAGGTCTCAACTCCTCCACCATATGCCTGCGCAGTGCTCAATGCTTCGGCGCTGAAGGAAAGTATTAGTGCAAACAATGTGAAAGAGGGCTGCACCTGATGACTTCGCAGGAGTGCGCGACGAAGCTCCTGCTACAAGCAACAAACGTTGCCACAAAGTCCAAGCGCAAGCTGGCGCAACATTTGCAAGTGTAAGTGTAAACAACAGCCATGCAGAAGCTCGAAGGTCTGCAGACATGCTCCTGGGAAGGTTGGAAACCGATTCAAGCACCAAAAACGCGGATTCGGTCACCAAGAGGGCGGATTCGAGCACCAGGACAACCCCAGGATTCGCGCCGTTGGATTCGCACACCAAGGATTCGCACGCACCAAACGGACTGAGACGCCTGCTTCGTGCACCAGAACTACAGCACTGTCACCTATAGGCCGACGTGGGCGGGCCACGATGGTCAGGTTGTGGCGGTAGTAGAAAATCGCAGAGGAACATCCAAAACCCTTGGCCGCAAAAACTCCCAAACCCTCAAACCTGAACACCCCCGAACCCAAAACACCCAAGCCCTAAAGTACACCCCAACCCCTGAACCGGAAACACCCCCAAACCCTGAACAAAAAACTTCTTTAGACCGTGAACACCCTAGACTCTAAACCCCTTCCCAAACCCTAAGTCGAAAACCCTACACCCCAAACACCCCCCTGAACACTCTGAAAGCGTAAGCTCGAAACTTCACACCCGTAAACCCTAAACCCCAAACTCCCACCAGCGAAACCCTAAAGCATGAACAGGAAACCCCAAACCCTGAACACCCCCAGCCCTAAAACCTAAACACTCTCAAACCCTAAGACCTAGACCCCTACCCTGAACCCTAGACCTTCAACACTAAACCTTAAACTCAGAACCCCAAAACCTATACCCTAACCACTCCGAAGCCCTAAGCCCTACCACCCCGCCAGCGAACGAAACCCTGAAAGCTCTAAACCCTGAACACCCTCGACCCCAAACACACTCAAACCCTAAGCCGTGAACCCTAGAAACCTCCCGACCCTAAGACCTACACACTGCCAAGCCAAAAGCCCTAAACTTTGAACCTTACACCCTGAACCTTAAACCCACACTCTAGACACTCAAAACCGTAAGGAACACACCCAAGCCCTAAGCCCTAAACCTCACAAACATCCCCAACCTTAAACCCTAAACGCCGCCAAACCCCAAGCCCTAAACCTTGAGCCCCAAACCCTGAACCTTAAACCCACACTCTAGACACTCCAAACCCTGAGTAAACCCTCAAGAGCGCTCAACGTAAAGCCAAAGCTCTAAGCCCTAAATCCACATACCCCTGCGACTGTTATTGCGCTGTGGAGGTGCTGGACTTGTTGTTGCTTGGTGCTTGAATCGGCCCCTTTTGGTGCTTGAATCGGCGCCTTTTGGTGCTTGAATCGGTCTGGCCTTCAGCGGCACTGACTCTCAGGCAACGCTTAACACTTTTCCGATCATCCTCACTGAGTCGGCACCACCAACCTTTGAATGACCTTCCACGGAGCCAGGACTCACGAGAAGCACTGCCCTCACACGGTTCCAAGATACCTGCGCAGATATCAACCCAGAAAAGCCAGTCGTTTCCATATGCGACCACAGACTTTGCACTTCCACATGGGCTTAGGCTGTTTGGGAATGCGAATGAACTCATGACCCTGGCAATTGTGCTCAAGCAACCACTTGTATGACCTGTATGCAGCACCAATTCCGCTCACTCGCTGCCGCATATGCCCAAAGCCAACCTTGGTTTCCGGCACAAAGCACACACCAATCCCATGCTCCTGCAGCCACCTCACCATAGCTCAAAGAAATGCAACAACGCATGGAGGACAGAGAACGCAGAATGTCCTGAACCTTGGCTCCTTCAAGCTGTCTCAAATGCACCACCTGTGGTCCCCCTGAAGCGTGTGAGGGCTCCTGGGCACCAGCCTGAAAAATGATCCCATCGCCTTCACTCTCGAATGCAAAATCACTGAGCGCCGTGCCACCTCCAGCAGTGCACTTGCCACCCCGGCTCTACGAAACCGAAGCAAAGTCACTCACGGCCCGCACTCCTCTACGCAGGCGCTTGCCCCCGCACTAGGCAAGATCCACTTGTGAGGGGAGACCTCGAGTTCCCTCTTTTGTTGGCGCCATGCATCGGGATCAGCACCTTCAACCAGCTTCCTGTGACCAGGATTGTACTCAAAGTAGAGTTGCATGACCATCTGTTGACCTAACTTGGCCCCAGCTAATGACAACCAATGCCGTGACATTAGCAAGCTCACAGAAGATCTGCAATTCAAGCTTGCCACCCCAAGTTTCAGGCTTGGCCAGCTCATCGACGTACCAAGCAAAGTCCGTAGCAGTGTTCGCCCCCATGTGATCCGTGCCATCATCCCAGCGTTTGCCATAGGCCAAAAGGTCGCCCTTGATGTTAGCAAACAACTAAGCACGCAGTTGGCAATGCGTCCTTTTCTTATCCCCTTGCTTGGTGAGGAAGGCAGCCACAGCATTGCATGAGACAAACAATTACCATCAGCAGCATTCTTGATAGTCTTCCCACCCATGTCCCAGCCGGCCACGCTGGCATCCTTGCTGGGTGGGGGCGAGCGCGATCTTTCGTCGCGCTTCCCCCCAGTACCACCACCTTCAGACGTCTGGGCTTTTCTAGCAGACTTTTGTTCAGCTGCCTCGGCTGCTGTGCTATCACCCTGTCTTCCTTCCTCAGGTTTGGCAGCAGGAGGCGGGCCTCGTCCTGCGGGCTTCTTGGCACTGGGCTTCAACTTCATTGCATCACCGAATCGCAGGCGGTCAGTTCGAAGGGGAACCCTCTTGCTTTTGTCAACTCTCCGCCGAACTGCCTTGATGATGGTGATGTCATACTCCCCATCGTCATCCATGACGGTGCCTTGGACCAGCTCACATTGATCCTGCCGCTTGGCACGGACAGTCCAAGCATTGCCATGCCTTCTCTGTCCTGTCTCAGTCTTCTCGACATCCTGAAAATCAAGCGATTGAATGAACTCAACAACATCGTAGACAAGAAAGCCTCTAGGCAGGCCTTCCACAACCTACCTGGTTGAACTGCCATCGGGTGTATGCTCAGAAATGGCCACCCCGTATCCAAGCTGATAGCGTCCACACACCAAGTCTTTCGAACCAGCAAGGCCTTAGCAACGATCAATGTATTGCACCCATGTCTCGCTGTCATCATGCCGGCACGGGACCCACTGCGCGGCTTGACCCGCATTTTGGGGACCCACCTGTTCGACATACCACCAACAATTCGATTGACACGAACCAGACGCCGCCATCCAGATATCAGACAGCTTGTCCTTGTCAACCCGCATCAGGCTTTTAACCATGTGATCATCAATGCACTCAAAACCGAAGGCATCATGACAACCATGGCTTGCATGAGCAGAAACTGCCAGACACCAATCACGGAGGAAACGTGTGGGAGTCTTCTGCAGTTTCTTCCAATTGTTTTCGCTGTAGTGCTTCTCGGCAACAAAGCAAAGCACCACTGTACTGTCAGGGCGGGCCTTGGCCTGGAACGGCTTGCTGGTGCCGGCCCTTGCCTTAGAAACAGAACTGTCCCCAACAAGCCATAACCATCCCTCTCTAGGTTGGATCTTGGATCCAAGCTGTCCAGCAACCTTCTGGTACTTCGCCCTCTGAGCAGCTTTCATGTTCTCCTCATTCAGGTCTCCATGGCCCTGAAGAAAAACAACACCCTTGGCCAGAGTGTCTGCCATCAGCATTTCAAGTGCCTCATCGGCTTCCTCCCGTCTGGTAGTTGCACAAACCAGTCTCTGCTTTTGCTTGGTATCCAGTTCTCGACTCACATCCTCTACATCCTGCACCATTTTTGCTGGCAATGTGGGATCGCTCCAGTCTTGGGCACGCAACTTCCATGCATGTTGGACACATGCTTCCTCAACTTTACGCTCTGGTGTCTCTTGTGTTTTGGCAGGCGCCTCCGATGTGGGAGTGGCAGCACCTTTGCATGGAGCAGGCGGCGAATCCCATGCCCACCAGCTCCAATCCTGCCATCCCCATGCCGCCCAGTCGTTGAGAGGCAGTTTGCCATCCATATTGCGGCTTAGCCCCCGTCGGCCAGCGTTTGCCACCCTCAGCATCCACCACCAACTTCTTCAGGGCCTTCAAGAGGGCATGTCCGCCGGAGGGAGGATGATGGAAAAGGTCCTGCAAGCCATGCCACAGATAAGTCTCCACTTCATCAACCAGGTCAAGGTCTTCAGCAAGAAGCTCCCGGAGTCCCTCAAGCAATCGGCCACCCCCACCTCGAACAAAGTCTCGCGCGATGGCAGAAGAGTCTCCATCTCAACCTGTCCCTACAGGCCACTAAGAAACTCACTTTCCATCTCCGTTTCCGCTTCTTTTGTCGAACTCGTCGAATTTGAATTGCTGTTGCGCGCCAGGATGCGCCAGGTGCATCTGCCGAAATTGGCCGTGAAAGCAAAGAGCCACACAAGGCATGCACGGCAAAGAGCGCGTCCTCCACATTGGAGTAGACACTGTTGCGTCGGGAACGCTGTGGCAAAACAGCAAATCGTCTCGTTTTGGTGCTGGAATCGGATTTGGCCGGTGCATAATCCCTGGTACGTGAATAGGATAATTCCTGAATCGGCAGTGCTTGAATCGGCGGTGCCCGAATCGGTAGTGCTTGAATCGCAGTGCTTGAATCGGGCTTGGTGTGCGAATTGTGCTTTTACGTTCTGGGAGCCAGTCCTTCTGAGCCGCCTTCTTGGTGTCCAGATGGAATGCCAAGAGCTTGTTGCCTCCAGTGCGGACAATCAATAACAAACCTTGCACATTGAGCTGTTTTTGCTTTAGCAGTACTCATCTGACATTCTGTGAGGGTGGCTCAACATGTCGTTGGCGATGATGGCCGCAAGCTCTGAAGCCGGGATCACCTGCGCTGCTTGCACTGTCCTCCCAGTCTCTGAAAACATGGAATGCACAAGCAGACCTCTTCTAGAGCATCCAGCACGCGGGACCAGGCAGCTGCTGCCTCATCCAAACATCACATGAATCAGCTCAGGCCGGCAAGAAAGTCCTCTCCTCCACGTACCGGTTCAGGCCTTCCAAGCAATTTTCCCAGCACCCAGTCAAAACAAAACAGAAAGCGCAGCGCGGTCGACCAGGCCTCGGAGGCTCAGTGCGAAGCCGCGGAGCCTCGCAAGAAAACCGAACGACAGGAAACAATGTGAAACAAAGTGGACCCCCCTTCCACCAGCTGGGGCTGCCACACGTTCGCAAGACTGCCCAGGAGGAGGGCCTGCAGATGCTCATGCAAAGGCTCTCTATGTCGGTGGCTTAGGCTCGACACCTGCAGCTTTTCCTGTCGCTCGAAGGACTGCTCTTCAGCATCATCAACGCAGCGCTCGAAGCCGTCCCGTAGTAGGGCCTAGTCGAAGTGGGGCTTCACCACGTAAACTTCTGAGGCTGCTGTAAAAGTCTCAGCACAAGGCCATTCGCTGCGCAGAAAGTGGCGCAGGTGGCAACTGTCAGAGCGGTTACAGACTCGCCGACTCACACAGGCTCCGCTGCGTATCCGCCTCGTACACCTGCAGTTGTAGATCGGACAATCGGCCTGCCAGCAACGCAGAGCAACGCACGTGGCCAGGCAATTTTGCCTAAGCAGGGTGGCTGGGATGGCGGGGCCTTCATGCAGAGCAGCTTCCAAAGCTCTGGCCTGAAATGCTGAACAACAGTTCTCAACGGCTGTGATCTACATTTGCTGGCTGCAGCTAGCTACAGTAGCAAGCACATTCCACCGAGAGACTGCAAAGACCTCTGCTTCGTTGGCAGCCGCCTTGTTGACATACTGCGTGCAACAGACATTCTCGCAACTAAGCTGAGGCATGGCAGCTGGGCCAACTGCTCCCCCCCCCCCCCACTGAAAATTTGCCAGCCAAAGATTTCCCGAATATACTTCACCGTGCAGAAATGCCTCCGTGCGCTCAGCCAGTTCGGCACCGTCGGCCCCTGTCAGCAGGTTGCCACCCTACAGGAGTAGACTTGAGACCTGTGGCCTGGGACATGCAAGAGGGCAGACGAGCTGGTACAGTAATACTAATGCACTTGAGAATCTAGTGTTCTACGCGCTGGGTGCCATGATGGCCAGCGGAGCACAATGATCATGATGATGATGAGGAGGATTAGGGTCAGCACCAGGCAAGATTCACAGGCAGACATGGTAGCTGATCAAAGTTCACGCTCAAATTCATGTTTCCAATATCAGCATTATGAGAAACAAGTTACTTTTGAATTCCGTTATGGACCTGAAAGAACCCCGTGCCTCGGACTGCGTTTGCAGCCTCAGATCTTTGGGGTTTCAAGCTTTCAGTCAACGTTTACGCCTTGTACAGCTTTTCGGAGGCCTGCTCGAGGATGTCCTCCAGGTTCGTCTGCTGCCTGCCGAAGACCGCCTGCAGTAGGCAGCTCACCGCTGTCTTGCTGCATTCGAGTTAGCGCTTGCATCGAGAACTTGTACTTGCACTGAACTGTTTCTCTTGCGGCCCAGGTCCTCTTCCAGGCGGCATCGCTCACAACAGCACTGGAAGCCGTATGTTGCCTTGCGAGGTGCACCCACTACACTCAGTACACTCTATTGCTGAGGAAACTGAACTTGCCAATGAGGCTCCAAGGCTTCACGCCTTCGGTACCACGGCCTCAACCACAAACCAGGGCAGAACATATCAGCTTTTCCTGGTGCCCAGGTGCCTGACTGCAAGGTCTCTGCATAACCTTGGGCGCTTTCTGTTGATCTCTCGTTGCCTTGATTGTCACCAGGGCCGCTGCTGTCAAAAAGTTCCTCTCCAGCTTTGAGGTCACGGCCTGCCAAACGTAATTCGCAGCGTTGAGATTCAAAACGAACCTTCGACAAATTGTTTCTTGAGAATTGGAGTCACTAGCAAGTAGCATAGGAAGTGGATTCTAACAGCACCACGATTTATGAAGCAAGGAAGGCTCCAAATTTGACAGCCCCTCTGGCCCCGACCAGCCCTCAGGAACAAGCAGTCCAGCACGATCACCCTCTGCACCTAAGAGAGGCGCATGCCTTTTGACTGACCATCGAAGATTGCACCAAAAACCGCATGCAGAAAAGGTGCATTTGGCAAGCAGGAGTGATTCACGAAGGCCGGCAAAAGCCATAGTCCAGAGCGCTGCGAATCCTGAACTACAGATGTCGCTTCGTGATTCAGGTCTGCATCAGAGGGCAGGGCGTTGCCGATCTCCATAGGCGCAGCATTCGGATTCACCATGGGAAGTGCGAACCTGGGATGCCGCAGCATAGCACATCACACAGCCTTTGCCAAGGCGCAAAGAGGTCTGGGTTTGCTGCTGAGTTGCTGGTTGAAATATAGGATGGAATGAACATCCTCCAACCTGCTTCGTGCGTTGAGTAGGCAGCAAGCAGGCAGTAAGCAGGCAAAGGCAGAGAGGGACTATTACGCCCTTGAGAGCAACTCTGAGACAGTGCACAAATATTAGCGGCTGCGCCCAGGCCCAGTTCTTGGAAACTCCACGCACGAGAGAACTTTATGGCAATCAAGCCAGGCGTGCGAGTTCTCCGCCTCGGATGAGGCCTGACGAAGCCGAGTCAAATTGGCTGAAGTGTATGGGATGGGTAGTCAGGACGACAATCCCTCTTTGGGTAATCTAGGGCTCAAAGAGGGGCCAAACTCTGACAACCTACCAAGTGTAAAATCGTGCAAATGCATACAAGGGGTGGGTCTCACAAATGTATCAATGCAAACACTAAATGGGAAGTGCTGTTAAGCCAGCAAAAGGAGCACATAATCTTGCTCTGTTTTGGGGGGGCTACAGTATTTATTCTCGGACACCGCTTTGCATTGCCATAGGTACATCCACCAGCCCCATCCCACCTCTACACGAGCAGGCTTAGCTTTCGCTAGTTCAGGATGACAGGTCTACGCAGCCTCTGATCGGAAGAGCTTCCTGGGAGCTGCCAGCTGAGCTGCGCTCAGTAAAGGCATCTGCAAGGAGGGGCCGATATTGGAACATGCGGAAAGAGGCGTCTTGCAGCGCTGCCACACCTCTGTCTCAGATTCTGGAGTTCCGCTCGAAAGACCTCAACTTGACTGCATCACCAGTTCACGTCTGCAAGGGCTTACGAGACATCTGGCACCCTTGCCTCAGCTCCGCACTTCGCAGTACTTGCCCAACCTCCTCGCATCTGGCAGCACGCTGAAGAAGCTGCGGCAGGTCCTGCAGGCTCGTGAAACGTCACCAGGGTCTGTGCTGTACCACACCTGACGACTCACCAGCTCCTCGTTCAGGCCGGTCGCCAGAGCTTGTGCGCAAAGAAGCAGCCTCCAGCCCGGGTCGCGGAATTTGCACCAGGTCAGGTGAACGATAAGTCCAAGCTCTTACTCTGGTTGATTGATTGATATGCTTAACAATTCACGACAGGGGTGGGCAGACCTTCTGGCTTCACCATAACGGGATCGGTGCATTTCGATTGGTCGATGGCCAACCGGGAAACGACAAATAAATTCAACAATGATTTGAGGCCGAAGATGTTGGCTCCGGCAAGCACAACACTGTTGAAGGGCTGAGAGGGGAAGTCGCGGTCGACCCACAACCAGCTGAATCCATCATTGAACTTCATCGCACTCTCAGCTGTTGCCCCACCTTCCCCGCGGAACATCTTCGGTCAAGAAGAGACCCCGGCCTGCAGAAGCTTGAGGAAGACATGCCAGAAGGTGCGGGGAACGTGTGCAAATATGAATATACTTTCTGAGCCACCTCGCTCAGGCGAATGCCCGATCCTGACCTTGGCAATAGGCAGGAGATGAAGCTTCTCGAGTAAGAAGGATGCTTGGGACAGCAGCAGGACCCACATAGGGTTCAACGTCCAGACCGGCAATGACGAAGTCATCGGCCTGCGCTTGCTGTGTCGTCTACCTCGTGCCAAAAGGAGCATGCCCCAAGCAGGCCTGTCCAGAGATAGACTCACCTTCCGACCTGCTCCAACAAGCAAGGGCAAGGATGAAAAGGACACGGACAACACAGAGTACCCGAGGGGTGGGCTTCTGCTTAGCTTTGGCCTGAGAGATCAAGGGCTCGTGCTCCCAACCCGAGAAAGCGAATGCATGCTGTGGCACTGGCAACAGCGAGCGTGCCCGTCTGGAAGTACTGCTCATACACCTCCGGCGCTGAGTCTATGCTCCAGCATGCTTCATCCAGAACCAGGATCATCATGACACAGCCTCCAACCAGGAATACCGGCCCTCTGCTTCTCGCAGGCGCCTGCGCACCTTGTTCCCAACGAACTTTTTTGGGTCTTGAAGGCATCATGCTTCCTGCATGAGACATCATACCTTCATGCAGATGCCACTCGGTCTGCAGCGGAGGTAAGCGCAGATGCTACCTGATTTCTGAGGTGGTGCTCTGGGATGGCTTTCGTCTGCTGCAGTCTTGAATCTAATGTCTCTGAGGGTGCAGCATCATCATCTCCAGGTCGCAGGCGCAGGGCCTCCTCCAGCGCAGCCTCAGCCTCACTGCGCGGCAAGCCCAAATATAGCTTGGGCTGGTCCAGCACAGCACGCTACAGCACGGCACAGCATTTGACGGCCTCTTGCAGTCTGGACAAGCGAGCATTGGCCAGACCGAGTCGATACCTGACTGTGGCTATTGAAGGAGACTTCACAAGCTATCCACAGCTGCCGAACTTCCAGAGAGTGCAAAAGCTACGGTTACCTGTCATAGCTCACAAGCCACAGGAAGCCAAAAATTGGCGCACCATGCTTTCGGGTTGTCAGGCGCCAGTGCTCGTGCTGCAGCAGCATCCTTGAGCACGCATCACGCAACCACACAGCGTAAAGCGTAAGCTCAAGCTCCAAGCGCAGGCCAGATGTAGCAGCAAATGACAAATCAGTGCCCAAGCTGTGCAAGGACACTACTGGACTGACTGGATCCATTGCCACACACAAAGTGGACAAAGACGAAGCTGCATATGTGGGCCAAGGTTGCTTCAAAGACGCAAAACGAAAAGAGCAAGTAGCCAGTAAGACCTACTTGCATAGTCTGGCCTCACGGGCATCTTCGAAGTGCTGCAGCTTCAGTCGGCACCTGACCCAGACCAAACACGGAGCAAACCTTTACGTGCAGGTGCACACTGCAAGGCCCTTGCTGTGCTCGACTGACGAGCGCAGATGCACGAGACTCGGCGTCCACTGCTGCTGCAAGGGCCTGCCAGCAGGAGAGCAGTGCATCAGAAGCGACATTTCAGATTCATGAGTTCGGTGCCTGTGTGTAAAGCTCCTCTGCTTCAGAGAACTGACCAGCGCGATAGGCAGCAGCCGCCTTGTGAGCTGCAGCAAGCCCATGAAAAAAGAAAGCATTACCCGAATCATTGCCGTTGACGGTGCCAAGCAGTCTCCATTTGGTCTCCCACACACTTGCCAGAAGTGGTGCCACCAAGGGTCCATGGACACGCGCCGCAGCTCCAGTCAGCCCATGCCGAAAGACTGCAGCAACCATGGTCGCTGTCAAAGTGTTTGCTTCTGCTGCAGCTGGGTAAGCAGTTTGACAGCGGTGCAGCCAAGGTCCATTGGTCACTTGAAAGTTGTCTGGTTGATTTCAGAGAGGGAGATGTGTTGGGTCTAGGCTGTAGTATGGGCTGCGACATGATGTTTCATGCTTTTGCATGGATCTCATGTTGGTTCGCTGGGAAGAAAGCATCGGCGACAAGATCACTGCCACTTGCTAGTCGGATTCATCTCTTCGTGCTTTCGCCGAAAATTGTGTGTCAGAGGGCATTATCTGACTGGTTCTTAGTAGGGAAGAAGGGAATATAATCCCTGTAAAGTATCTGTATAATGTATTCTCTTCTTCCCTCCTGACCCTAATCCCTACACCCTACACCCGATTCTCTACATATAACATATTCCAAGATTCCCTCTAACCCCAAACCCTAACCGATAAATCCTAATCCCTAGAAAACATGTTCCCTCAATGGAACTAAGAACCAGTAAGTTGTTCGGTGAATGCTAAACCCTTAACCCCTAACCTCCTAAACCCTAAACCCCTAAATCCCCAACCCCTACACTCTAAACCCCTAGACCCACTCGAAGGTGAATGCAGAAAGGGGGGGGGGGTGGACGTCCACGACCAGTCCCAAGGATGCCGCGTCCTGCGCTTGACATCGCAAAGATTTCTGAAACAGTTGGTATGGTTTATTACCATCACCTTAACCCTTCCTATTCTGTAGGATTAGGTTTTTTTGGTTGGTATGGTTGGTAGGGTTTATTACCATCACTCGAGTCATTTTGAACCTAGAATTTTAAGAGCAGGGAACTTTGAGGTCCCTAAGTAATGCTAAGTTTATATGGGCTTGAGGGTTTAAGGTTTAGGGTTTAGGCGGTTTAGAGTTTGCTAAAGTTAGGGTTGCCTTTAGAGGGTTTATAGGGGTATACAGGGGAATACAGTATAGGGCTTAGGGGTTTTTATCGGGTTTATATCGAGGTATCATAATAAGGCTTTATAAGGCCTAGGGTTTCGTAAAATGAGGGGTGCCTTGAAAGGGGTTTATAGGGTTATATAGGGGTAGGTGGCATGGACCTTTATGTATAGTATGACGGTTTGTCTTTCTGAAGAGTAAAAATCAAGCCTATGCCGTGAATAGTGCCGTAAAACAGATCCATTTCAAATATGTAGCGAGGGCAGTTGGGTGGCATGCGCGTGTGTAGCAGTATTCAGCTTGTGCAATTGCACGCTCCGTCCAACTACCATGTTCAATAAATTTTCAATCCTACAAAAACCTATTATTGGATGTGTTTCGGATTAAAAAGACGTCGCAAGTCCTGAGCTTTTTGTTTTTGTTTACAAACATCCTTACGGCCTCAACTTTAAGTAAACCTCCTAAAGATTGTGCTTCAAATTTGCAAAAGCCTGAAACCCAATGAACTTGCTATTCACCATAAAAATCCTTTACTAAACAGAAACTCTGTAATCCTGGACCTCTGTTCGCCTCATTTTTTATCTACAAATCCCATACTACACGTGTTTCAAATTTACGGAGAAATTCTCCAGTCTTGGGCGTTTCTTTTTTCTACATAATTTCTGAATAAATGTGCTTCACATTTCAACGGGAATTAACCCATAGGCAGAGTATAACAGCTGTTACCATGAGAATATTTCTGCAAAACACACAAGAAGCCCAAGACTTGAGAATTCCCACCTAAATCCACAACAGATTTTGAAATTGTACATACAAAAAGGAAAAGAGCAGTAGTCCAGGACTATACTAAACATGTAATGCCCAGAGCAACCAAAGCACGATTTAGGGTACGGCAAAGCCAAACATCTGTTCCCACGAACAGAACAGAAGTAGAAACTCTTTTGCTTCACAAAACACAAAAAAGGACAATTGACTTGAGAGAAATGGAAGCTCTAGTTGTTTTCAAGTGTAGTCTTTGGATTCCATGGAAATTGAATAAAATCAGCTGGAGCATGAGCTCTTTCCTCATGTTGGGAATGCTTTATGCTTTTAGGCACAAGGCACAGTTGTCTTGCATGTGAGGTAGAAGATGTTTACTTTACATACTGACGCCCTGTGTAGAATCAAGCCTATGTTCTTCAGAAAAACATCTTTTTATAGTGGAAAAGGATACAAGGGCAGTCCCATCGATACCGTACCCAGGCCGGCAAAAATCGATAAGTTCCACGGAACTGTGCTATAGAGCACGGTTTTCGCTCTACAACGAAGAGCGTATTTGAACACAAGACGAAGTCTAGGTTCTGATAAGCGTAACTAGCACTGCTTTCCAATTTTAAGGATGCCCTGATCCATCCCACACAAACACGTATACTAGGCAAATGCACATGCGTGAAAACATAGAGGCCGAGGTACGGAAATCCATACATCATTAATCCAATTAGTGGGGTGTTCCAGCAAAATTCCATACGGGGGAAACCATCTGTTCTTCCCACTGTATTGCCGCTATTTCCTTAGAACTTCATTAGAACGCATAATCACTAAACTCAGATATGTGTTTCTAAAAATATGAGCTGTTTCGAGGCAGGTGGGATATACCATCAAAACATGTAGTCATTGAGCCATTGAGCCATGGGCGATTAAAATCATTGAAGCATTGATCAATTAACCAAGCTACTGGTTTTCCTGATATTGAAACTCATTGAACCACTGAGCTATGAAGGCAATGAACCATTGAGTCATTAAGCCGCTGAACCCATGGATTTCTCCATACGGTAACCAAATGAACCATTTAACCATGTAGCCATTGAAGCCATGGTTTTGTTACGCAGCGTAACTTGACCTCTGCGTTTCTACAGATTTTTCCGGGCGCAAATAATCGAAACCTTTTGCCATATCCAAAGACAGAATATAGGCCTCCTCATTGTCCCAATGATCCGCCATCCGTGCTAGCGCGTCTTGGGCGCAGCGGCCTGGAACAGCTCCATGGAAATCGCGTGGCATCAAACCTGAAATCCATTCCTGAGCTTGCGGGGTATGCACCATGGCACTTGCCACTATCCCGCTGAAAATGCACTGGATCGATATAGGCCTCAAGTCAAAGCTTCAAGAGCCTTAGAGTCCTCCATCTGAGCACGTTTTGGTAGGAAGACATGTCTGTACTCCCTCAACTGTAACGGCCATTTGTCAGTTTGAGCCCACCTATTCCAAAGAACCAGGTAAATGCTCCAAGCATGTTCGGGCCAATGACTGATTTCGGCCCCAGACCATCCATCGGGTCCCGGCGCGCCAGACTTTTTGGTTTTGGCAGCCGCAAGCAGTTGCGCCGAAGTAAGCGGCCAAGCATCATCCACAAGCGGAGCTTCAACGCTGCGCATTCTCAGCAGCTCTTCGCAAGTTCACGCCCTCTCCCAAGCAGTGTTCCAGGACCGCCGCAGCTCACTGAAGATATCGGACACCGTCGCGGCGCATCCATCAGGCGTGGCAATGCCAACCGGCAAGGATAAATGATCCTGTTTCAACCAGCGAGCGCAGGCCTTGCCCTCTTTAGCCATGTCTTCTTTCCAGCAGTCCAGCCCTGTGCGCCGACTGTCTTGTCGCCGCTCCTCAAGCAAGATGCGTGCGTCACAAAGCACACTGTTCAAGTCATGGGACCATGGAATCTCCCTAGGCCACGTAGTCCAGACCTTGCGCTTTAACGAGTTGCAAACTTGTTGCCGTGACTGTTGGAAGACCAGTTCTTGAAGCCTTCCCACCCAAGCCGAGAGCTTGCGCAGCCTGAAAGAGTGCGGCTTCTCCCGTCGCACCCGCGATGGTCCACCCCGAAAAGCAGGCGATGAACCCTTGGGCCGGGTTCCACCATATCTGGGTACCCCTTGCTCGTGACACCACGTAGCCATGGTATGGAACGCTCTCCAGGCAACTTCGGGATCGTCATCAGCAGAAGTATCAACAAAAGACCCAAAAAAAAAACATAAGGATCAAGAAACCAAAATCCTGGAAAATGGCGAAAGCTTCAAGGATTGGGGCTCGCGGGTTCAAGGCCGAGGATCAAAAAAACAAAATGCTGTACGATTGCGAAAGCTGCAGGGATACAAATGATGAAAGAAAATCATGCAAAATCACGGAAATTGCTCAAAAAAAAGATGGAATACCACGACACATGCTGTGATGAAAAATGATGAAAAACTGCGCACAATGACAACGAAAACATGAGAATTGTGAAAAATCAGAAAAATTAGGATATGATGTCAAACGATGAGCTATGGCCGGCATGGGTTGCCCTTAAAAACAGAGGGCGGGTTGGGGGGGCGCAGCCCCCCCATTTGCAACCAAAACGAAATCATAAATGTGATCAAAGGTGCTGAAAAATATGGCAGCTGATGTGAATTTATACAAATGATGAAAGAAAATCATGCAAAATCATGGAAGCTGCTCACGACACTTGCTGTGATGAAAAATCATGAGGAAATTGTGCACAATGACCAAGAAAATATGAAGATTACGCGAAATCAGGGAAATTACGAAAATGAGAAGCGACCCTGCCAAATGACGAGAATGAAATCTGTTTACAACAATCATGATATATCAGGCAAATGATGCTGAGCGTGATGAAAACTGATGAAAAATGTGAAAATCAATGAACAATCCTTCCTTCCTTCCTTTCTTCCTTCCTTCCTGTCTTCCTTCCTGCCTTGACGTCCTTCCTGCTTTTCTGTCTTTCTTACTTGCTCTTCTTCCTTCCTTGCTTCCTTCCTTCCTTCCTTGCTTCCTTGCTTCCTCGCTTCTTTTTGTTTCTTTCTGCCTGCATTGCTTTCTCTGGGTGTGGTCACTCTTTGCAACACCTTCCTGGCTTGGTCCTCACGCAGGTCGGCTGTTGGAAAGTGAGCCCCTAAGACCTACAGCTGGCCACGCAGCGGGCTAAAGGGACGATGCCGCGCAACCTGACTTGGTGGGCCGCGTGGCGGCAAGCCACCCGCAGTTTAGAAGCGTTTTTCCGAGGGCCCAGCCTCTGGGACCACGTTTGCCAGTGATCCAGGATAAGACGCACATCTTCAGGGTGGTGGACGATTATCTCACGATCGTCCACGAACAGGGCTTGCAATGCAGGGCGTCTGAGCCCGAGCTCTGCGAACGCGTTGGCGCCGTGCTGCATCGCCAAGATCAAGGCCACAGGGGCCATGGCATCTCCCTGAGGAGTACAAAAACCCACCTCAACAGGACGCTCATCCACAAAGCGCCCAAAGTGAAGGAACCGTTTTTGAGAGCTCCAAGCATGGCGAAAATGCTTGACCCACAAGTCCGGCAGGCCGAGATGGGCCATAAGCCCCACGCTGATAGCAGGGCGCAGGTATTCAAAGCCCTTCATGAGGTCTAGGGAAATCAGATAAGCTTCATCCTCGCACTCCTGGAGGCGGGCAACAGCATCACCCACACTGCGCCCTTTGATGGCCCCGTGGACATCCGAGGAGACCAGGCCCGTGACCCAAGCTTGAAACTCGGGACGCTGAACCGTTGCAGAGGCCACAACCCTGGACAGGATGCACTGCGCGGAGATGGGACGGAAATTTCATGGCATTAGGCTGCACGTCAGAGCCTTTAGGCACAAAAATTTGTTTGTACTCTTGTAGGCGGCACGGCCACACGTCCTGCCGCGCCCTTTTTTCCCAGAGTGTGAGGTAGCACTTCCAAGCAGGTAGCGGCCACTGGGACACTTCATCCCCTGACCACCCGTCTCCTCCACACGCACCGTGCGTTTTCAGTCTGGCAGCTGCTTGCAGGTCTTCTGCCTAGCGTCCAGGCGCGCGCAGGCACGGGCTCGCCCCACGCAACCTGACCATTTTGTACCCTACGGAGTTCCTCACAACTAGGGTCCCTATCCCAAGTTTCACCTTAAGCCCTACGAAACTCGGCAAAAACCTCTGCAATGCTATGCGTGGAGCCCCGAGGCGTTTTGAGTGCAGCAGGCAGGGCTAGCGTGGTCTGCTTGAGCCACGCCACGCTGTGCACCTACGGCCTTGCTCCATGACTGACTGCCGCCAATCACGCAAGCCAATCCTACCGTCCCTCCTGAGTTCAGCAAGCAGTGCTTCGCCGTCTGCAACGGCCGTGCTGAGGTCAGGACTACTAGGAATCTGCGGGGGCCAGGACCTAAGCACAGCAGCCTCAAGGTCGCCCATTGGATCCCCTTTTTTTGGTGAGCCGCCTCTGGGACAGCGCACCATTCCCCAAAAAAGGGATCACACTCCAGATCCTGGCTCGGCCATCTGGCCGAGGAAGCCATCACCAAGTCTGATAGCCTTGCCGACCCTCTCAAAGTGCCTGGTGATTGCAGCCACCTGGCTTGCCCGCGCCCCACGCCATGGCCATGCCATGCGCTGAGCCATCCTATCAGCAGGAATTTGAGGCTTGGTAGCCTCAAAGTGGCTGCAATGCCACATCAGGTGCTCAACATTGGGGATACAAACATCCCCGCAAAAAGGGCAGTAAGGTTCAACTGCCTCCATGCACATCCTTGAGTAACAAGCGCAGCTGTACGTGGCCCCAACCATGCTGCCTCTCACCGACTGGCTGCTTGCACTATACAAAACCCTCGCGTGTTTGCAAATGCCCTCATGGTACTGTACATGACCACGCAGCATTCGGCTATCCCGCCTCTCACGATGAAGAAAGGCATGAAGCCTCTGTACCCTCCATGCCTCTCTGATGCGATGCGCTGTACGCTGCAACCAAACTATGTGATTGTCACGGCCCGCTCGCATAGGCCAATTAATACGCGGCAGAGTGCCGTGAGAAAAACCTTGACCAGCGATGAAATGGTACCCAAGACGGTGCAAGAGTTCTCCTTAATTCCGAACTGGAATTTAAATGGAATTTATACAAAACAAAGCCACCTGCAAAAGAATTTCAGAATTCCAAATATGTGGTTATTTCTCATTTTTCTTGAATTTGTTGCATGTTTCTGATTTTGTCTTTCATTGTTACATTTTTGGATTCTGGTTTAATGTGTTTGCTTTTTATTTTCTTTTAAAAATTTGTTGAACCTTTTTATTTCTGTATGTTTTTTTCTAAATATGTTTAGTTGTTGTTGGTTTTGCTATTGTTTCTATTTCTAATATTTGTTGAGTCTTTTTGAAGTTGATTAAGTTTTGTATTTATTTAATCTGTAATTTTCTAAATTGCTTACATTTTTGATTTGTTAATTGTTTACTCTTTTTTAAACTTTGGAATTCTGTGTTTAACTTCTCAATTTTTGTAATGCTTTACATGTTTTATATGTTTTACAGTTCTCACATTTGTTACAGTTTTGAAATTCTTTATTTTGTAATTTCGAATTTCCCTTGTTTTGCATGGTTATATTCTTTCACATTTTCTGTTGTAAGTTTTTGATTTTTCGGATTTTGACATGTTTTTACTGTTTTACATTTTTGAACTTCTCACATGTTTAAACTTTTTGCCTGTTTGTAATTTCTACACTTTTTATGGGTTTTACATTTCAAAGTTTTTGCATTTTGTTGTGTTTTTACACTTTTTACTGTTGGATGTTTCGATTTTGTTTGGGTTTTCACGCTTCTCGTGTTTCTTACATTTCTGTGTTTTGCATTTGTTGTTTTTTTACATCTTTGCAATTCCTTTGAGTAATCACATTGAAATTAGCAAAACTCAAAAACAGAAATAAAAATGAAAAAAAAAGACTACAAATCAAGAATTCAAAAAAATCGCAAAAATGAAACAAAAACACATAAATATGTAGAAAATTAAGAAAGTTTAAAGATAAAAACAAAGTCACAAACTGCAAAAATGCAA